ATATTCTCGCACCAAGTTCTACTTTGTATTGATTTTAATATACCCAATTCTTGAATTATATTACAAATAATTCAAATTTTCATAAACATAAAAACAAAAGTTGTACATGTTAGTATTAAACTTACTTTGGCATAAATAAAAATCAATTACAACTTAAACTCACCTATACGAATTGACGTTTGAACCATGTTACTTTCGTCATAAGACATGTGAGGTGTAGCCTCGGGACTGGGCGGGGTTATCAGTTCTGTTACATTTCTCTCTTCACTGGGTAATTGGTGATTTAAACAATCTTCACACACGAGCCATTGATAATCTGGGTGGGGATTTGTTTTATCGCATATTAGGCATGTCGTCATGGTAACTAATGAAATAAAACGTGTTTTTATAAGATACTGTCCTTATAAATATACCCAGTTATAGTTATTACAAAATTAAACCATAATTCAATTAATAGGGTACATCAATGTAGAAAATAATGATATTTTATGTGATTTATTAATAACATGTTCTAGTTGATATTGAATTAAATATGTTTAATTCTCAAGATATATAGCAAATGATTCAAATTTACATAAAAATAAAAACAAAAGATACACGTGTTGCTGTAGAACTAACTATACTATTGATCAAAATCTGGTTGAACCAACCCATATCACTTGATGCTTGATGTACGTGACTATCATCATAAGTGGCAATTTCAGAACTGGTCTGTGACACCAATTCGGTTACATCTCTCTCTCTCTCTTCACTAGGTAATTGAACCTTTAAACAATCTACGCACACGTACCATTGATACTCGTAGTTGTTGTTAGTTGTTCTACTGCATATTATACAAGTGGCCATAACTAATAAAATGAAACGTACTTTGATAAAACACGTATGTTATAAGTATATGTATCTATCTATCCACATGTGTGTACTTCATTTGTATAGCTATACCTTAGAACGTTAAGTAATTGGTATTATACTTTATGATATACTTAACATTATCAACCATCTAAATAAATATCATTTAGTTTATTTCTTTTAAAAAATAAGTCATAGTATGAAATTTAAAAATAAAGTGTTACTTACTAGTATTTGTACAGCCTGTTCTAATAAGTGTTCTCTTGTGTTTATCGCCGAATAATGGTAGAACGGTAGTGAACGAATTGTCTAAGATAAGACTATTTATACTACATGACATTGGATTTCCTTGACTATGAAAGATAAGCACCTTAAATTTAATTAATTAAAACACTGAACAGCAAAGACTTGGAACAATGAGTGTGTCAACATCGATTAATAAAAACTACGACCAAACTTATCTCCAGACATTGAACGTGGCCGAATCTATTATTTAAACGTGGGCGCTTGTTATCAAAAAAATTATTAATGACGTGCGTCAGCATCGATTAATAAAAACTTCGATTAAAAACTTATTTACAGATGTAACGACCCTCACTCTGCGTGATAAGCGCAAAAGGTAGTGGTAGCGTTAAAGGGTTTATGAGTGAGTGGAAGAATCGTCACATTATTACCGGGTCCGTGTTGTGATTGTATGCGCTCTCAAAGGTTTTACAGACATGATTGGTTGAATGGCTGAATATGTCGCACTGCGACATAAAACATACACCTAACTGACAAAACAGACGATTTAGTTTAAATATAAATGATAACATAATTATGGGTTTATTTACAATGTGATTATAAATTGAGTATAGTAATTATGACAATTACACACATAGTGTGGAAATATATGTATGAATAAAAGTTCTGATATTGTGATACCTGAATGATATATGGTGCAGCGTTACTCAATGGCAACGGGTACCCATATTCAAGGATAATGCACAAAGGTGGATCGTTATGCAACTAAGATCCCTGAAATGTGGTTACGATAATATACATAGTATTTCCTATCAAGTACAATACATACTCAAGTAAGATTACATAATTACCAAGAAGCTGATACTGCAATTACACATTATTGAGCTCATATTCATAAATCTTACATTAAACATATAACATACAATACTTTCATCTGGGAGAGTGTGTGACACAACTGGTGACCAAATAAACATACATAGCAATATGTATTACCATGACTTTGCAACAACCTTTGACAATGAGAACAACAACAACTGGCACCTTGGAGTGTACGACATGACGCAAAGAACCTAATTACAACCACTGACAAAATGTAAGACCGACTAGGAATATCAACGTAACATTACGTATTCACAAGCTTGGGTGAAACATACCAAATAATGACTATAACAATAACTTGTACAACATTTGATTCAACATACCAATTAGTGATAACAATGTATACATGACTGCTCATTATGTAACATGCTAGGAAAATTAATGTCACATAACATGTGGGTGCAATCACATGACATGGATATACATGTCACGTAACTAGTGGGCGCCTGCTATGAAACATGCCGACGCGTGCTACATGACATATGGGTGCGATTACACATCATGTGGGTACATGCTATGTAACAAGTGGGTGCATGTTATGTAGTAAGTGATCAATCATGAACATAAGTGAACCTGTAGACCCAAGTTGGTAGTAGTACATCACCAACTTATAATATTCCAAGACACAACATAAGGGTGGGTGCAACAACTTGTATTCCCTTTGGTAATATTGGGTGCAACAAATTGTATCTCCCTAGGGTGGCTTTGGGGAAAGCCATACATGCATACAGTATATAAATTATAGTACGACCTTAACGCAACGATACAATAAAACCGACACTCCAACCATCGATAAACAATAGAACAGTTCAAGTTCAAAACTAGTATCAGGCTAATCCATAAACCAGGGTTCCATCAGGGTTTAACTCAACACCATCATCTATCTGACACTAACTGTTGCCCAACAGTAAGACTTGAACTCCATAAGCCGACTTTATACAAGCGAGACATTACGTAACATACAACTGCACAGGGTAGTTTGCAGTGTACCAAAACATGATCAATTTGGGTATTGATCATCAACAATGAAGCAAACTGACATGATCAAACTGGGTATGTTGATCATCAACCATGTAAACCAAATATGGGTCAAATAATTCCAATGTGCTTTTGCATTAACAAGTCAAATCCAAATCCAAATGTAATACTTGCCAATTTGTCACACTCGATATACATAGAGTGCACACAGCTTGAAATGAGGTGTAGGGTGTCCATCCACATGAGGTATTTGCATCAGCATATGAGTGGTTGGTTGTTGGTGGTATGTAGTTCGCCATTTGACAGACGTGCTGACATTTGCAAGTCATGTGGGAGGGGTGAACCTCAAACTTCAAGCCTGATTTGGGGGTCAGACTTCGTGCAGATCCTGTTGTAATCACCTCACGTGGACGGACGACTTACTGGTGTAAATCGTGAGACAGTTTAGACACCTCGACGGTCAACGATAGCGACATTTTGAGTGAAGATAGCGGAGCAAATCACGAATGATTAACTCGAAAAACATGAGATGGCTACCTGCCTTCTGCGCACGCGCAGCGCCCTACATAAATTACGAACTTATGTAAATCCACAAAAACGGCCATAACTTCGCCAATACGGGACCAATTGCAAAGTTAAAACTACCTATAGAGAGCTGATTTTACGTATTACATGCATATCCTACTAGATTAATGATAAAACATAGTAAACAGGGTGAAATTTAGACCAGAAAACTACGACAGTAACCTTGACCTTTTTACGTCAAAAGTACGAACGGAACTAAGAATAGTTCGAGAATTACGCCAAAAGTACGAACGGGAGCAACAATATCCACAAATTACTAGAATAGGACACTTTAGTGGATAATAACGATCTAAACATGTATGTGAGTGTATAAACAACATTAAGTGAAACCCAACTGTGGTGAGACATCGAACTGACATTACTGAATAGCGGCAAACAAGTAAGTAAATCTGTTGGGTTATCACACAGACATTGAACGTGGGCTAATCTATTATTTAAACGTGGGCGCATGTTATCAGAAAAATTATTGATGACGTGTGTGTCAACATCAGTTAATAAAAACATCGACCAAAAACTTATTTCCATACATTGAACGAGGAAGAGTGTATTATTTAACCGTGGGCGATTGTTAATTTAAAAACTTATTAATCACGTATTAAGAAAATTATTGGGTCATGTGCGTAGGCAACCCATATGTAAATCTTATATAAATTAAACTTTAGTTTTTCTCTCTCTCTCTCACACAACGTTTATACTACGCTGATACGTTGTACATTAGATAAGCCACATTGGGTCAAGTCCACAGAAATGGCTCAACATATGGTTAAATGCAAGAGGAATTTTCTCGTTGGGACAGTAGTTCACTGATTAATGTTACTGATTTAAGACAAAGAAGACTAAAAGTGCTTCTCTGATCTTAGTGGAATCCTTGGAATCCATAGAGGATATCCAAGATATTGAGCCAAATGTCACAGTGAATGTAACCATACCAGAAGCAATCTAAAACTAGCTAGAAATTGATTCGCTATATCGACTTTCGAAACATTTTATATTGTACGTTCGGTAATTTAATGTATCATTTCGCTATACCGGTTTATAAACGGTTGTTCTTAGAAAAAAAATTAAAAACAAAAAAATGTTTTTATGAATTCTTGTTAATAACTTAAATCTGGCGATTTAATCATCGACAACTCGAATTATTTGGAGAATAACAGCACGGACATGAATTCTACCGCTAGGTAGGCGATTAAATATCATGTTGGTCCAAATGACCGGCACTTTTGCAAACATTGCCGGACTGGGGCTCAATCTACCGGGTAGGCCGTTAATGACTACACTGATTACAGGTATGGTTAATTGAAAGACCAGTGCATAGGTACATCAGTTGAAGATATCATCGGGAATAATAAGGGTTTTGAAACATAATAACAGGTAAGTTTATCTCTTTTCTAGATATTGGTTTTTAGAACTACACTACTGTTTTTACAAAAGAAAAAATAGATTGTTTTTATATTTATATAAATTGAGTTGGAATACTTCAAATTGATATGTTACAATTATACCAAATGTTTTGTTTAATCTTATTTCTAGTTTGTATGACATGGCAGCAACTTAAGATTGATTTTCAATGTATACATTTATTATGTCAATAGAATCCATGTAAATAATACAACATAAAATGTTCTGATATTATTTGTTTTTGTATACATCCTATGTATTTCATACAACAATCATAGGTTCCCTTTGTCTTTCATCCTTAACCCTCGGTAATTTGGATCTCGTAATCACTCGTAGCCATAACGCATTACCTAAAAAATGATGTAACACTGGTTACCACTATTAAATATAAACCAAACATTACGTTGTGTTATAGTTTGTCAAAAATCGCGTAACTTACCTATGATAACAAAAGTTAAAACACCACCTGTAAAGCTTAAGGCCATTGGTGTCTCAAAATTTACATCATAACTGTTAATATACGGTTTCAGTATGTAATATGGCGTTACATTTTCAGTTTTATTAAAGTGCCTAATAACATTGATGGTTTGACAAATACAACACGTTGTAATAGCGCTCAAAACTAATAATTGACCTAGCATGTTCAAAAACCTAAGTATGAATGACTGTATAACTTACATCTTCGTATATATGTCTTTATTTCTACTGTGTGCTACACTGTATTTAACTCTAGTTACTGAAATCCACGGGGTCGAAATAACTGCATTCACTACAACTATCAGCTTCACTTTTTTCTGCGTGACCCGTTATTACACAATGAGGTTCGGTTGGTTGAACAAGCCCGTATTTAATAAGGCTGTCCACAAATAGCTCAAACACCGCACGTGTCATAACGATACCGTTTCTATCGGGCAAATGTTTCCGTGGATCATCGGAGTATGTATTGAGATGATAACCTTTTTAAAATACAAAAAAAAATACGACATGTAACCACAATATGAATGACAGTTTAAATTGTATATTCGATGTTCTATGATCAGTAACAAATCATTTAAAACCTTACCCCTAATATTAACTCTTCTAAATTTAGGATGAACGCTGAGTCGGAACTGAGCACCCAATACAACGTCCCACTCTTTGACATCAACCTTTTTCTTGGATTCAATTTCCATGAATTTTTCAGTGACGTGTGGTAAATTGTCGATAAGTCGCGCCATTTGATTATGGGTTAGAAATACACCAGCGCACGTTCCGTAGGCATTACATACGTTTGTGATCCCCGTGATTGGCCATATTTGGTAATTTCTGATGTCAACTCCATTGTCGTTGACGGCGCTGAACATTCCGTCGCATATCTTCATTAAAACAATTTTTGGCGTCGAAATTGTTTCAATAAATTCCCCATTTTTTATTGCTTTAATATTAGATGGTACTCGAAATTTTCCAATCGGCATCTTTGGTGATTAAGTATTTAACGTTATGAAAACTAAATGAACTTATCTTTTTATATACCCTTTGACTAATGGCTGTTTCCGGTACGTACTATAATTAACGAGACTAACTTATTGTTTAAGTCACGCCCCACGTGTCACAACGTGTAAGAAATCACTCGAGCCTGTACCGGCTGGTACGATCTTACCTATTATCGATTACCTGTCAACGACTGACGCGTTTTTATTAATTTTACTTCATCGGTTGTCAATATTCCGTATCAAATTACCAGAGCCTGTACCGTCGGTACAGGCTTTCAAGGTTAAACGTCTTTTTAGCGGTCAACCATCGATTTTAATTAGCCTAGTTCAACAGTGATTAATAAGGTCGGTCACGTGGTCAAACTCGACCAATCAGAGCGTAGGCGCGTGGTTTAAACTGCCCAATCAGCGTGGACCCCTGATAAACTCCCAGAATGCATCAGGGGTCACCCCGGGTCACGGTATATGATTTACTACTATCTAACATTTTTGTATTACTGAAGAAAGATCTAATTCACCCAGGCCCGTAGCCAGGGGGGGGGGGGGCTCTGGGGGCTCGGACGAGCCCCCCCCCCTGATATCTCTTAAAAAAATGTGGACCTACCTTTTTGTTTCCTTGAAGCAAAACTTGCTCTTCCCCACATTCACTGGGCAATTAAGATTAAAAAACTGGCATTACTGTGCATTGTTTTTCGAATTTGGGCAAAATTTGGGCCCAAATTTTGGTTTTAGGGCCCTTGAAATTTAACGTGCGGCCCTAGGATGGGCCCAGAAAAAATGTTGGGCCAATAATATTGTTTTTTGGCCCTTACTTTTTCATTTTTAGGCAAAATCTTCAAAAAACGGGCCATAAATTTTCAAAATTTTGGTTCTAGGGCCCTTAAAGGTTTTCAGCGCGGCCATGGGATGGGCCCAGAAAAAAATGTTGGCCCAAAAATATTGTAAGGCCTCGTTAGTGGGCCTTTTTGGGCATTACTTGACCTTTTGGGCCTTATTTTTTCAATTTTAGGCCAAATTTTCAAAGAACGGGCCATAAATTTTCAGAACATTGGCCCAAATTTTGGTTTAAGGGCCCTAAAATTGTTTATGTACGGCCCTAGGTTGGGCCCAGAAAAAAAATGTTGGGCTAAAAATATTGTAGGGCTGTGAAAGAAATGATGGTCCCGCAGGGATTATGGTCCCCTTTCTTAACGGCCCTTACTGGCCCTGATTGTGTATAAGATAATGAGGGAAAGAGTTGTATTTAGGTCACCATATAAATCAATGGAGAGTAGGACCATAATTTGATAGGACCTCATACCCTTTTACAGGGCCTCTTTGGTTGACCTTTTACCTTGACCTTTTTGGGCCTTATTTTTTCAATGTTAGGCCAGATTTTCAAAAACGTGCCATCGATTTTCTAAAATTTGGTTCAAATTTTTGTTTCAGGGCCCTAAAAAGCTTTTCTGCGCAAGCGCAAATATTTTTTCCTGACTTGAAGTGTGGGTCCCACCTTGTTAGCTTCCGGGTCCGCCACTGTCCTTTACAATACAAAGGGGCTTGGTTTAGCACGGGGAATTTTTTTTTGGGGGGGGGGGGGTGCGGGGGGGGGTGCGGGGGGGGGGGTTCGAGCCCCCCCCCCCCCCTTACAAAAAGCTGGCTACGGGCATGTTCACCTATTACAATACAACATTTCGTCTATGTTTTATTAGTTGCTTTGTAGTAATGGTGTTATTATACAACTCAGATTCAAGTATGATTTCATAATAATAATATTTATTTAATTTACTGGGATATCACTATGTATAACAGTCTGCACGGTTGAGTTTTTGAAAAGACCCAATTTTAAGCCAGCTATCCACCTTGATAACGCGCCTGCTTTAGGAAAAAACGCTTGTTTTCTCCTCATGCGGTTAAAAGATGACATTTTTTAACCAGATTTTTACCACTCAAGATATGTTTAAGTGTGGTTGTGGTCACCTGTTTTGACACTCATAAAAGTGTGGCCCTCGCTGGTATTTCTTCCACAATTCCAAGAAATATCTCCCCATAGTTTCTCCTCATAATGAGAAAGTGTGGTTAAGGTGTTCCTGAAACTATGGAGGAGCAGGACATTAACTTTAATATGATTTAAGGTTACCATATTGTTAATAGGGGTTAAAAGGGTTAATGCTTGTTAAATATATTTTTGGATTTACTGTACATGATAAGTCTGTTATACCTGTTATTCTGGTATCTAAATTGTTTTATGCATCAATCAAATATTCCATTACACATGTGGCAACTATGAGATTGTTGTATGGGTGAAGCATAGGGAGATGGGTTTATTTGATCACATATACATTTTATACTCTGACTGGGGTTAAACAGTTTAAAGTGTCTTTCTAAGACTTAGAAGGAGAAATTTTAGATTTCAAGCCATATGTCTCAAGAAAATAGTCTTACCTTTCTAGTAGGATGAGTTCATGTGCCAAAAACAGCTGATCAAAGAATATATATCATTTTCTATTTGAAAAATTTTGTTGAGCCCTGCATTTTTAACACTGTTTTGACAGGAAGTCATACCCAAAATGAAAACTGAATAAAACAACATTTATCCTACATGTAGATCATAATACTCACTCAGAGATGCATAATGTTATTATAAGTAATAATGCTGATCATTTTTAAGAAATTTAAGAATGAAAGTAAGACTTTTTTCGTCCTTGATTATATAGATAAAGAATTTCTCACTCCAGCAAGCTTTGGCTCCCTGGTGTAGTGGTTAGAGCTTTGGACTCAACCAGACTTTTATTCCCAAAGATCTGGATTCAAATCCCACTGGTGGAATATGTTTTTATTCTTTATTTTTGTTTTTAGTTCATTTTGATCCACATTATTTCTAAAATAAATTTTATATATGGCACTTAAACCATATTTAGTATTTTCAAGGGATTTAATTTTTAGATGAAATCATTGAAAGTTACTTTAATCTTTACAAAGTATTTCAGTAAAATGACATGAGGGTTAGAGTCAAAATGAATGATGCTTGACGTTTTTATTTATGTAGATCAGAAGTTTGCATGAATATAAAACAAAGTATTTTAAATTAGTTATTCTAATGGGGAGCTTATTTTGACTGAACTGACTAATCTTATTATAATACTAATTAAAGAATAACAGAATGTGTCTGCTGTACAAATACATGTAATCAATATGTTAAAATATAGTCCAGACATGATTTTATTATTTTTAGACATCAAAGACTTGTAGAGTCAATAGAATAAAAGTTACTAGTATACCTGTAGTTAGTGAATTTATTTGAATAATATCAATGTTAATTTTAATAATAAGATTATAATTGTAATCAAGAGTCTAAATCTAAAGATTAAATAGGAAAAGGACGTTGCTTGTATATTTATAAAAACAATAGTTCAATAAGTCAGTTAACTTTACACATTTCAGAATGTGCTTTGTGAACAAATTGAGTCCTAAATATCTTTTCAAAAACCTAAATTCATGCGAATGATGAAACCTAGCAATGTGATTTTTATTTAACTTTAATTTCAGTATATTTTCGATGGCATATTTTGTACTTAATCACCCTTAAAGCTACAGTTATATGGACAGATTATTAAAAGCAGTTTTAGTGAAAACTGTGAGATTCTGAAAAACACATCTTAAGTTGATACCAAAGGTTGATATTAGGTTGTTCTATAACAACAACCCAAGTTGATGCATTTTGTGGGAGATATTTATATTCATAATCATATGATCTTTTTCCTAAACTAGTCGAAGTGTATTTTTCTTCTATTATTATCATTTTCAGTGAAGGTCTTACATATTTTTGCTTTATGGTAAACATTTGTAATGTACATTATTGTGCTTGGGGACCATATTTCAGATTTGTAAGTAGGTTTAACTGATAACTCAATACATCTACAGAGCTTTAAATGATACTTTTCTGTATCTATATGGCATGTTCTGATTGCCTCTGTATGTTCAATCCAGGCTTGTCACTTCAATGTGTCCCCTTTTCAGTATGATTAATAATTATTTGATAATAATTAATCATTTGATTAATAATTATAAGTTTAATGATGGATCTTGGATGCCAATTTTCATCAAATCTAGATCTGAGTTAACTCATTTTGTCCTAGCTGTGTAACTGAACATTGTTGTTATAACTTATGTAAACATTTTTGGGTTTGTTGACTTAAAGACCACACTTTTCCCACATTTTTAGACCACACTTTTTATTCATATAATATATCACCCATACCTGTACTGCTCTTATACCATCTCCAAACCACACTCATACCACACCCGACCCACACCTTTGAATCTTATGGTCAGTGGTTTTTATAAATAATGGAGTTTTTTCATTCAATTTAGTTTTTACACTGCTCAAAATTGTTAGATTTCTCATAATAGAACAACCCACCCTACTTTGACAATAGACTCAATCTTAACGTTGGTATGAATAGCAAATACTCATTTTATGTACTGTTATTAATCTCCAGTGCTTACACTTTTTATATATTTTACAAAGTTTATTGCAACATTGTCATTGGTCACAGTCAGGTGAAAGGTGCCAAGCAACCTTCAATGAACAGTGAATAGTCATATTCAAACATCATCCTCTTTGATAGTGAATAAAAATTGAGGTTGATTTAGATTGTTTCTCAGATATTTGGTCCTATATTTGGACATTTAATTTGGTATTGGATCCCTATTTGACATTTGCTATGGCTTTGTGGTGTTATTTACATGTAACTGCCAATAATATTGTACATATTACATTATTATTATATTGTAATTGGTATGGGAGCAGATTGAAATTTGATTGATTGGCATTGTCAACAGTTCACTTTCATAGGTCACCAGTTTCCACAAATCGAGGCGTTTCACTGAAATATCTTGTAGAGATTAAACTCTGAGATAATCAAAGATTAAAATATACACCAATAAATCAATAATAATTGAGACAAATAATTCATGCTTCAATTAACAACATTCTCATTTGTGTCACATATGTTTAATAAAATATTTGTTTGATGATGAAAAAGATGCATGAAACAATTTAGATACCAGAATAACAGGTATAACAGACTTATCATGTACAATAAATCCAAAAATATAAGCATTAACCCTTCTAAAACCTATTAACAATATGGTAACCTTAAATCATATTAAAGTTAATGTCCTGCTCCTCCATAGTTTCAGGAACACCTTAATCACACTTTCTCAATATGATGAGAAACTATGGGGAGATATTTCTTGGAATTGTGGAAGAAATACCAGTGGGGTCCACATTTTTATGAGTGTCAAAACAGGTGACCACAACCACACTTTTACATATCTTGAGTGGTAAAAATATGGTTAAAAAGGTCATCTTTTAACCACATGAGGAGAAAACAAGCGTTTTTTCTTAAGGGTGCCCACAAGTCAGCATTAAAGACCACTGCAGCGATGCAGGAGCTAGGTCTTGATGTCTAAGACCACGCGCCATACTCTTCTGATGATGCAATATCTAATTTCTACTTATATGGAGAACGAAATACTAAGCATCGTGGTAAGACCTTTAAAGATGAGAATGACCTTCTCCAAGTTGTCCAACGACCCTGCGTGACATGTCCTCAAATGGGTTCACTCATGTATTTAAGTCGTGGATACAAAGTGTTACTCTTTGACTGACCAAAGAGGAGCCTACTTTTCAAAGTAGAGGATACATAGGAATATCAAAGGATGTATTTAGCAAATGTATTTCCCACCAGTTGTTGGATTTTAACTTTGATATGGGGTGTACAAAATGCTTAAAGTCTCTGTAATTTCAAGCGTGGAATGTCCCGGGTATTGAGATGTCACGTTACCATAGCAACCATAACTTAACCCGAGTTGCAGTTTTAGTTATGATACATGGAAGTACATTATGTACAATTTTGAAGATGATTGGCCCATATTTAACAAAATAGCAGCACTATTCCTGTTACTTTTGGAACACCCTGTATTAATATAGTACTTGTATTTGAGATAAGAGTCAATTAGCCTACTGAACTGTTGAACGATTTTGTATCTTTTATAAAACATGTTCAGATTGAATAGATTGATTTGACACGATCTTGATAAAATAAAATATATTGATTTGTCTTAGTTTTAGATATATCAATACGTTCTTAATGTTTCAGCGCAGCAGTTGCTGTGGAATATAGAAGACTTGTTCAATACAGGGACAGAAACAACATCTACTATACTTAGGTAGATAGTATTGAAGTAGATAAGTTTTTCTATAAGGTTAAGTCATCATTGCATGAACATTAGCCCCCAAATGTCATCAAATATAATATGCTCAATGGTTTTTGGTCATCGATTTGAATACAGTGATAACTCTTTCAAACGATTAATGTATGTGATTAATGAGAACTTCAGCGTAAACCTGTAAACCGTGGGCTTGTTGGTCCCTGCAGTAAGAAATGGATACCAGGAGAGAACATTGAATTAAGGATATAGGTCATTCATAGTACCTGAGGTCTATGCCGAGTCTAATATTTATCTAATTTCGTCTATATTTTGTTAGAAAATGCAATATAAAGATGCTGATTTTCAGCTTATTTGATCTGTATTGGTTCTCTAACCATAACTAACTTTCCAGGTGGGCATTTCTGTGTATGATTCACCACCCTGAGATTCAGAAGAAAGTACGAGCAGAGATCTTAGATGTTATCGGAGCTGAGAGACTTCCATCCATGCATGATAAGAAAAGGTTAAGCTACACAGAGGCAACCATTAATGAGATCCAACGTATGTGTTTGATCGGGCCTCTAGGGGGACCAATACATATGACACTACGCACAACGCATTTCAAGGTATCACATTAACGACATCTCGTATGACGCTACAAACATCGCATTTTAAGGAATCAAATTAACGACATCCCATATGACACTACGCACAACAGATTTCAAGGTATCACATTTAAACGGGATGTCATATGACACTACGCACAACGCTTTTCAAGGTATCATAAAAAAGACATCTCATGTGACACGACGCACAACGCATTTCAAGGTATCACATTAATGACATCTCACATGGCACTACACACAACGCACTTAAAAGTATTGCATTAACGACACATATCATATAACACTACGCACAACGCATTTAAAAGGTATCATATAAACGACATCTCATATGACACTACACACAAAGCATTTTAAGATATTACATTGACGACATCTCATTGACTCATATAACACTACGCACAACGCATTTAAAGGTATCATATTAATAACATTTTATATGACTCTATGCACAACGCATTTCGAGATATCACATTGACGGCATCTCATATGACACTATGCACAACGCATTTCAAGGTATCTTATTAATAACATCTCATGACTTTACGCAAAACATATTTCAAGATATCACATTGACGACATCTCATATGACACTACACACAGCGGAATTTCAAGGTATCATATTAATAACATGTCATATGACTCTACGCACAACGCATTTCAAGATATCACATTAACGACATCTCATATGACACTAAACACATCGGATTTCAAGGCATCACATTGACAACATCTCAATCCATGTTTTCGCGTCACACGAGTGAGGTTATTTAGTTAAAACAGAACAAACATCGGATAATATTTGTGTAGTTTGACAAAACTCTAAAGCAATATTGAAGGGTTGCACATTTTATGTCCTATTGCATCAGAAACCTTTAATTTCACATTTTTAGAACTATGTGCTGCCAGCCAACACCGGGGTCCTTCCCAACATTTATGCAATCCACCATGACTCCGAATACTGGGACGAACCATTCAAGTTCAAGCCAGAGAGATTCATCGATCAAGATGGAAACTTCCAGAAAGATGAACACGTGATTCCTTTCTCAGTTGGTGAGAATATAATTATTCGAAAATTAAGTTTAATACTGCTATTTTAAACCGCATACTCGTATTTGAATAAAAAATATACAAAACCATATTATTACCATGATGATAAAATAATCTGAAATGAATGAAAACCTATTGAAATAAACTTAAATTAGACAAACACTAACATGGGTAGCGTTTTCTATCAGATTTACTATTACCATAATTTGCATACCGTAGATCCTAGCCCCTCCCCATACTTTTACTCTTGGTATGGCAGTGTATATGTTCATTTTTAGACTGCTTACATTTCCTTATCCGTGTATGTACTTGCAATGTATTCCAGGCAAGCGTGCCTGTATTGGCGAGTCACTAGCCAGGATGGAGCTATTCCTGATCTTCGTCGCCATACTACAGAAATTCTCTATTGAAGTTCCTCAAGGCTCACCCCTGCCACCTATGGAAGGAAATAGAGGACTTTCAGTGGCACCAAAGAACTATGAAGCATGTTTTGTTAAAATCTAGTGTTTAATTTATACTTACAGTACCTTGTAATAGGGCAGCAATTGATTTAACAAGGCATTAACACGACAAAATGTCACCACCTTTGGAAGGTCATTGAAGATCAAATCTCAAATATAAAAATACCTTTTTTGACATTCGTTATGTTGCCAACAACATTTGTGATCTAGTTTGATAACCTTGACCTTGACAATTTTACTTTACAGACCTCGGTAGGTATTTTGCGATTAAGCTGAATTAAATTTGGATCCAAAAGTCAAAGCCTAGTTTTTGCCCTTTCGAAGGTCATTGAAGGTCAACCAAAGGTCAAATCTCAAGTCAGATGATTTGAACTTCTGAGAACGTGAACATGATTTTGAAAAAAATATTTGGTCAATTTGGAGCAGTTGAAAAAGACCTTTTTGACCTTTCCTGGCCTTCAATATGTTGCCATTGTCACACTTTGTAGCGAAATGTGTCAATAAATTTTCTAAGTGTAACTTATCCTTTCAAATTCTTAGGCTAAAGTGTGCCTTGTCCTTTAAATAGTATCATTCTTATGAACCTTCAACTTTAGCATGCAATATGCATACTCACTGAAATATGTATGTTCACTAAAGCGTAAGAAACCATATATAGACATGTATCAATTTCATATAGCAATTTCCATACGGTAAATCAAGGGCATTCAATTTAGAAAATGTATAATCTTTATTTTTCAGGTATAATATCAATGAGATAATATCAATGAGATTGCCTCCCGGGGATTCTGTACTTTATTTAGTTTGCCTTGTATATCCTTTTAACTTTGATATAGACAAAGAAACCAAACAAAATACGTTTCGTTCATGGACCACTCATCATGACTCACGCGTTTTATTCATGTCCCGACCTACACCTGTAAACAGAACATACAGTTTCTCTTGTTGTTCAATGATACATTATATTGGCGTTTTTGCATCAGCACATTGGTGTTGTTGCATCATCGATAAGAATCAGAGTGGTGTTGTTGCATCAATAGTGAGGAATTAAAACCACGAATTTATCGCTTCTTGAAGATGCTACATGTATACCAACGACAGTTTTTTAAAATATAGATCATGGGCTAACTGCATGTGTATGATTGTTGAGCAACTCGTCCTAGAAATGGGTGTAAATTGGGAAAACAAAACATCGTACGAAAATCTATCACCGGAAGTCTGGCCATCTTGATGCAACAACACGGTGTTGTTGCATCACGATACCCCCCAGTGATGTATTGGATATTACAGTGAGTGGATTTCTAATGAGAGAGTGTTTGGAGGAGTGAAGTGGGGAGGTAATAAAATGTAAAGACATTGAAAAAGACCATAAAAATTAGATTACAAAAAGTGATATTTTATGTATATTTGTGACTCAAAAAATGACATTTTATACATAATTGTGATGAGATAAACACTAGATGAATATGGAGTCATCACATGGGATAAACAATGATTCATCAACCATAAAGATTTGCAAATCTCAAACATCTGAAAGTTAGTCGCTGGATCAATCATTTTTTATTTTCATCATGATCGTTCGATCTTTTGCGATTGCTATGGGACGATTGCTGATACAGTTTAAGGTGCTATGGAAGTTAACAGGAAATGACAAAACAGGAAGTGACGATTTGTTTTGCATTTTTAGACATTTTTTGAACAAAGATAACAGAGTTCTGTTTTGACCTCCAGTCAATTCAACTAGTTCCAAATACCATTTACAGGTCCAGGATCACAATGTTCATGGTCAGGATGACCCTAAACATGATGAAATAATCTTTTCAGCCCTATGAAAATGTGACTGAAAAATAGCTAAAAGTAGGAGAGTAGGAAAGGTCACTGAACAGAATCCTTTGAATTTTTCAGAAAATGTGCCCAATATATTGCTCTAAATGATACAATCTTTGAAAATTTGATATCATTCATGGAAATAGAAAAAAATGAAAAAAATGATTTGAAAAGCGATTTATTTTCCTTTTTATGACTGCCATTTTTCTTTAAGACAATTTTCTAAAATTTCAAAACTTGTGGACTTGTGGAATAACATTGTGATATTACCGGTACAAATCAGTGGATAAAGGTTTGCCGTAGTGATATTTTGTGAAGTCGCAGAGGTCCAAGGAGTAGACTATATCCTCTAGTCTGAAATTTTTTTGAAATTTGGAAATTCAGTCTATTGGATATAGACTAGTCCAAGGAGTACTGTGTAAACTTGGGAAGTACTGCAAGTTTGTGTTTGTGAATCGTAAAGGAAATGGAATCCTAACCCATACGAATTTGGAGTGATCTCACGGTATTGTGGAAGTGCGAATTAAACTAGACTTGATGTTAATTTTGGTGATTTCCATGTTTGGACTGTATCAATTAAAGAAATGTATAAAGGTTGAACTTTGTGAAGTGAACTCCTCTTCATAATAATTGTGATTTAGAACATTTTAATCATATCTCAATATAATTTATGAAATTCACTAAATTATTGAGTCTGTTAACTTATCTTAGAAAAATTGAACCTTGAAAACGTGACAGCCATGGTAACAGATATTGGCAAAAATTTGTTGGAACTCATAGCATACAGTACAGTAGAAGTCAGTCAGAAAACATTGAAGCCAGACTAAACAGTACTTGTTAATTCATTGGAAGAATTTGTTACAGATGCCGAACGCCGACTGCCAAACAGAGTCCACAAAAGGTTGGAGACTAATACACTTCTGAAGCCTTATTCATAAAGCCAACGTTTTGACTTACGTCAACGTATCGTATTGCGGAAACTTATTTTGGTATTCATAAAGCAAACGTAACTTTACGACGAACGTAAAGTCCTGCGGATCTTACAAAATATTTACGTCAAGTATCTTCACCGTATAACTTTACGTCCAGGCTTAAAAACAAGGTTTATTCATTCTCTTGGTATATCCAATTTACCATGAGATTTTGTGAAACACTTGTTTTAGATATAATGCGTTTTATAATGTTAAAATTATTTGTCATTTGTTTGACATCTTCAAATATCTAGCTGGTCCCAAAGATAGGTACGAAAATGTGACGGAAAATGTGGTGAATTCGAGTTTATCGTTTTGAAAGGATTTGAAAGGGTCTTCGTTATTCTGAATCTAAACTACTACAAATCGTTATGATTATGAATTCAGAATGAATTGTAACTATCATAAAAATAAATAAAAATCTTAACAAATATCTTCTTTTCTGTGATTATATTTTCAATTTGTTTTTTGCGCAGGTGGATTATACGAGCAATTTGGTTTCAAGTTTTGATTTGGTCATATAGATTTGTATTATGATAATATTTTTATAGACTTTTAGACGAAGTAAAAAACGTTTTAAACTTTTTTTCCTCGAGAGGGATTTGCTTATAAGCTTAGTTATTTTATAAGCACAATCCCCCACAATTTTCTGGCAGCTCAGATATAGATTATTTTTAAAAATCGCGATATTGATACCCCGGAAACTTTGTTTATGTGTATTTCAAGAATTTTACGTTGTCTAAAAATTCGGCTTTCAACGATACAAGGCCAAGGCATCTTCGATTTTAAAGACACAAAGTTTATATTTTGCAAAATATGGGTAATTTGAATTCAAGAACTGTTGACACGACCCTGGTCACGAAAGGGTCTCAAACTTGGTTTTGTTAATTACTTGTATATTGTTAATGTCGGTATCAGAGGGCTTAAATAGGTTAGAGCTTATTTTGCATTATGATAAATCTTGGAAGATTTGACATTATTAGTTACTCCTCACACATAAAATCATTCAACCTTTTAAAACATAAAATAACCTCTAATTATTCCATTTCGTTTGCCTTCATTTGATTTTTCATATTCATTTTTAAACCTTTTAATTGTTCAACATTATTAGGTCCCCTCTTTCAATTTTCCGATATCCAAACATTCATAATTCCATATTTTATACCCCTTATATTTCATATTTTATAGTATACCTCGTCTATTCACAGAAGAACACACAATTTATTGATCTTCACATCAATTTATTCTCATTTGCTTATAGCATGGTATATACAAAAAAATATACAAAATATAAGCTGGCATGATATTAGCAGGTTTCCATTCTGCATTTTTCTGTGAGGAAACTATTAAATATTTTATGGACAATGGCACCAGATCTCATTACATTACTAAAAAGTGTTGAACTTCTATGGATGCAGTGACAGAGAATTTGAAAACATTAAATGTCACTATCTGTACTATTATCTCTACTATAGACACCATTCAATAGCCACTATCAGCACTGCTATGTACACCACAGACACCATTGATAGCCATAGTTATCTTTACCATGGATACCACCAATAGCCACTATCAGCTAGCCACTAATGCTGCTAATAATAGTTCAATCTTATTCATAATTGATTTTCCCTCCTGTTTCTCCAACACCACATCTTTGTATGGTCCAGCTAGATTAGTCCATTTCTTATCCAGTGTTGAGTTTGAGGTTGACTCTTCCTGCTGGGGACTGAGAGATACACTAACCTTCACTCCTGAGATTGCACCACTGTGAACAGCAACAACGCTGCAATAACATGAATATAACAATAATATAACAAGGCATTAACATGCAAATGTCACCACCTGCCATTTGTTACAAACACCATTTTTTCAGACGCAGAACTTAGACCTCAGAACACATCCACAAAAAGTTGGAGACTATAATAATATGTCACCACTTGTGGTGGTGACATAATAACACACCAATATAGCCTTTTCTATTTCAAAGAAGTTAAACAGTGAGTATAGGTTTACTGATTTAATTATCCCTTCTCCAGAACTAGATGTGATTGTACTAGAAAATCATATTTCTTATCTTACATTTAATATAATCTGTCTTGAGTTTTGTTTCATTATACTTTTAATTTTTTTGAAAAATTGCAGAATACATCAATAGTTCAGTCTAATGTTATATAGGAATTAAGTTATGAAATCTAGAAATCCGTACCTATCCCCATTTGGGGATGCCAGTGTTATGGTAGATGGGCTGCCTACTGGTTCAAGATTCCCTACACCTGAGTGGGTATTGCAAGACAACACTTGCCAGCCCATCATCTTAGATAAGGTCTGCACTAATGAGATGTGGTGGTTGGATATCTGCAAGGTAATATAATCTCCATACAATATTCAAGATTTGTTTGTTTACAACCCAAATAAAAAAAGATTATTCAATAGTAGTTACTCTGATATACAGAGGATATATCAAAATAAAGTCATGGTTTATAACCAGAGGAAAAACATTGTATTTTTGGCAAATTTTTTTTATCCACTCAGGGATATTGATATCTGCTTTCTCTCATTTTACTTTCTCATTCTAAGCGCTTGTTCTCTGGCCACTGCCATTATTTTCAATATTTAAATAAAATGCTTGTGTATGCATAAAACATCAGTGAGTGAACGAGAACATGTTGAAAACAATTTGGTTACTTTTTGCTGAAGCCCTTGTTGGTCAAATTTCATATCTCAGTTTGACCAATGAGCATGGAATATTTAGACTATGGAGGTAATAAAACAGACTATTAACCTGACATAATATAAGATCTTTCAACTCTTGTTCCTCACTGGACATCGTGAATATTCGTCCATCCTTTCCAATGGCCTTGAACTCATCTATACCCACGGTCAGTGTAAATGACGTCCTTAACAGATACATACAGCACAGATTAGTTTTTCATGTAGTATATCATAATACATGTAGTTCAGTTCATGTTTAACAGAAATAGTCTAGGCCTAGGCCTACTTCTTTTGAAATTTTACCAACTCCCCCAAAAATCAAATATGAAAAATTGATATAATAGCAGAACTCAAATTTAAGTTTAAAATTTTAGCTTAAAAAAATATTATGAAATTCAATTTGTCAGACTTCCCTGCATAAGAAAAACAAGAATTCAGGACCATTTTATCACATCACCCAATGTTTACTGAGTAAAACATACTAAATTAGGTAAAAATGTATAATCTTTTATAATACTCAATAGATAGAGAAACATCATTTATATTTAATAAGATACTGTATGTAGCATGAAAAAGCTTATAAGTGAAGCATATTTCTAATAAAAACTATTAGTAAAGAAAGGTTTATTTGGCCCAACCTGTGTGTTATATTCTAAATTTTTAACATTAAATTTTCGAGTAATCTGGAAGTCTGATGTGTATACTCAGAGGAGCTGAATTCTTATATAATGTACCAAACAATGTATCAAAAGCTTTAAGTCAATAGATAATGCTTTGGTAAGGTGATTCCATGAAGCTACAGTGAATGAAAATGAAGGCTGCAACTAAATCAAGCAAGGAGGGGCCTTATATCTATAACCAGTAAGTAGACAGTAAATCCCTACACCCTTTCACCATATAGATACGTAAATCACCCTCTATGTTCCTCAATGAGTCATTTCACAAGCATGAAAACAACAGCAAAGTGCCAGGATGTAAATATATAGTGTTAACAATATTCTGAAGAATCCTATGATTAAGTGAATGAGTGGTCAGAGATAAAAATATAAAATGGATACTTTTGGAAATAAATGAAAATAACAATCATTTCAATTCAAACCCACATGGAAAATGGGAAACAAAATGTTTCAAACAAGAATGCAATATTTTCTACAAATTAGTCAAAAATCAAACCGTAATCACCCATGAAAATATTAAAGTGGAATTAAAATGAGGCTTCATAGGGTTAAAGAATTGTATATAAAATGAGAATCTGCAAGGTAAGTTCTCTACTCAACACAAACTTTTGCCACAAACAACTCAATTTAATTGAGTAATCTGACAAGGTTTTACACGTTATGTCTTGTCATTTGAAACTCAGATGGAAACAACATGCCCATATTAATCCAAAAATTATTAAAGAATTATAAAAGATATTACAAAATTGGTAGAAATTATGGATAAAAATATATCAGTGGGGTTTTGTGCCAATATTAGGTATAAGGCCAAAAGAAAGATGACAGTATGAACAATTACAGATTTAATCATACTGCCATCTTTTATCAGCCCACCAGTAATTTACAGGTATGGGAACACCTTAATAATAAACACATGCTTTCTTCTGCTGAATTTGAAGCTTTGGTTCTTTATATATACTTAGAAAGCCAGGGATCAAACCACCAAGAACAGGGAAAATAGCATGTGATTATACACATATATCACCATTTTGAAACTGTCAAGGGCCATACAAAAGTTGAATTAACCACCAACAAGGTAAGGTTAACAGTTGTATACTTTAAGTGTCACTAAAATGATATAGAAATTTTACATTGTACTGCGTAGCCCCAAATTCATTGCAAGTTTGTCTTGATTTTGGGAAGCTTTGGCTGTTGTACTGTTGCCATAGATCAAATGTGACTAAGGCATAGAAAAACTGTGGTTTTGAAAGAATTAAGTTTGTTTCAAAATATTAAAATAGATGTCTCTCACTTCATAGGATTTCACTTTTTACATCATGAAATTAATTTAATATTATTTGGTTTTAAGTAAAACAAAAGACACACGATTCTCCTTTTGCACATCTTTACAAAGAATGTGTAACAAAAGAAAAGTCATCAATGTACCATGCAGAAGTATAAGAGCATGGCCTTAATTTAATACCTTAATTTCCAATCGCAAAGTAAATTACCCCATTTTCTCATGTTAACATTATTTTATTTGAGCTATTTTAACAGGTTCAAATGGTGATATAATTGCCCAAGTGTAATGTTATATTATATGGAGTTTTATAAAGTTAGGAATAGAAAATATTACTTTGCTGCATCGAGGAAGTATTCTCTGCAACAGAATATGTTATGTGATGTAGAATGTAACAGAATACCTAGAGATATAGATTGTGAGAGAAGATGTTATGTCATATGAATTGTAACAGAATACATTGAGATATGGTATGTGATATAGATTGTGAAAGGAGATGTTATGTGATATAGAATGTGAGAGAAGATGTTATGTGATATAGATTGTGAAAGGAGATGTTATGTGATATAGAATGTGAGAGAAGATGTTATGTGATATAGATTGTGAGAGAAGATGTTATGTGATATAGATTGTGAGAGAAGATGGTATGTGATATAGATTGTGAGAGAAGATGGTATGTGATATAGATTGTGAGAGTAGATCTTATGTGATATAGATTGTGAGAGAAGATGTTATTGTGATATAGATTGTGAGAGAAGATGTTATGCGATATAGATTGTGAGAGAAGATGTTATGTGATATAGATTGTGAGAGAAGATGTTATGTGATATAGATTGTGAGAGAAGATGTTATGCTATATAGATTGTGAGAGAAGATGTTATGTGATATAGATTGTGAGAGAAGATGTTATGTGACATAGATTGAGAGAAGATGTTATGTGATATAGAATGTAACAGAATATGTAATGTGATATAGATTGTGAGAGAAGATGTTATGTGATATAGATTGTGAGAGAAGATGTTATGTGATATAATATAGATTATGAGAGAAGATGTTATGTGATATAGATTGTGAGTGACAGAAGATGTTATGTGATATAGATTGTGAGAGAAGATGTTATGTGACATAGATTGAGAGAAGATGTTATGTGATATAGATTGTGAGAGAAGATGTTATGTGATATAGATTGTGGGAGAAGACATTATGTGATATAGATTGTGAGAGAAGATGTTATGTGACATAGATTGAGAGAAGATGTTTTGTGATATAGATTGTGAAAGAAGATGTTATTTGACATAGATTGTGAGAGAAGATGTTATGTGATATAGATTGTTAGAGAAGATGTTATGTGATATAGATTGTGAGAGAAGATGTTATGTGATATAGATTGTGAGAGAAGATGTTATGTAATATAGATTGTGAGAGAGGATGTTATGTGACATAGATTGTGAGAGAAGATGTTATGTAATATAGATTGTGAGAGAAGATGTTATGTGATATAGAATGTAACAGAATATGTTATGTGATATAGATTGTGAGAAAAGATGTTATGTGATATAGATTGTGAGAGAAGATGTTATGTAATATAGATTGTGAGAGAAGATGTTATGTGATATAGATAATGAGAGAAGATGTTATGTGACATAGATTGTGAGAGAAGATGTAATGTGATAAAGATTGTGAGAGAAGATGTAATGTGAAATAGATTGTGAGAGAAGATGTTATGTAATATAGATTGTGAGAGAAGATGTTATGTGACATAGATTGTGAGAGAAGATGTAATGTGATAAAGATTGTGAGAGAAGATGTTATGTGATATAGATTGTGAGAGAAGATGTAATGTGAAATAGATTGTGAGAGAAGATGTAATGTGATATAGATTGTGAGAGAAGATGTTATGTAAAATAGATTATGAGAGAAGATGTTATGTAATATAGATTGTGAGAGAAGATGTTATGTGATATAAATTGTGAGAGAAGATGTTATGTGACATAGATTGTGAGAGAAGATGTAATGTGATATAGATTGTGAGAGAAGATGTTATGTGATATAGATTGTGAGAGAGGATGTTATGCGATATAGATTGTGAGAGAAGATGTTATGTGACATAGATTGTGAGAGAAGATGTTATGTGACATAGATTGTGAGAGAAGATGTTATGTGATATAGATTGTGAGAGAAGATGTTATGTGATATAGATTGTGAGAGAAGATGTTATGTGATATAGATTGTGAGAGAAGATGTTATGCTATATAGATTGTAAAGAAGACTTTATGTGATATAGATTGTGAGTGACAGAAGATGTTATGCGATATAGATTGTGAGAGAAGATGTTATGCGATATAGATTGTGAGAGAAGATGTTATGTGATATAGATTGTGAGAGAAGATGTTATGTGATATAGATTGTGAGAGAAGATGTTATGCTATATAGATTGTGAGAGAAGATGTTATGTGATATAGATTGTGAGAGAAGATGTTATGTGACATAGATTGAGAGAAGATGTTATGTGATATAGAATGTAAGAGAATATGTAAAGTGATATAGATTGTGAGAGAAGATGTTATGTGATATAGATTGTGAGAGAAGATGTTATGTGATATAATATAGATTATGAGAGAAGATGTTATGTGATATAGATTGTTAGAGAAGATGTTATGTGATATAGATTGTGAGAGAGGATGTTATGTGACATAGATTGTGAGAGAAGATGTTATGTGACATAGATTGTGAGAGAAGATGTTATGTAATATAGATTGTGAGAGAAGATGTTATGTGATATAGAATGTAACAGAATATGTTATGTGATATAGATTGTGAGAAAAGATGTTATGTGATATAGATTGTGAGAGAAGATGTTATGTGATATAGATTGTGAGAGAAGATGTTATGTGACATAGATTGTGAGAGAAGATGTTATGTGACATAGATTGTGAGAGAAGATGTTATGTGATATAGATTGTGAGAGAAGATGTTATGTGATATAGATTGTGAGAAAAGATGTTATGTGATATAGATTGTGAGAGAAGATGTTATGTGATATAGATTGTGAGAGAAGATGTTATGTGATATAGATTGTAAAGAAGACTTTATGTGATATAGATTGTGAGTGACAGAAGATGTTATGTGATATAGATTGTGAGAGAAGATGTTATGTGATATAGATTGTGAGAGAAGATGTTATGTAATATAGATTGTGAGAGAGGATGTTATGTGAAATAGATTGTGAGAGAAGATGTTATGTAATATAGATTATGAGAGAAGATGTTATGTGATATAGATTGTGAGAGAAGATGTTATGTAATATAGATTGTGAGAGAAGATGTTATGTGATATAAATTGTGAGAGAAGATGTTATGTGATATAGATTGTGAGAGAAGATGTTATGTGATATAGATTGTGAGAGAAGATGTTATGTGATATAGATTGTGAGAGAAGATGTTATGTGATATAGAATGTAACAGAATATGTTATGTGATATAGATTGTGAGAGAAGATGTTATGTGATATAGATTATGAGAGAAGATGTTATGTGATATAGATTGTTAGAGAAGATGTTATGTGATATAGATTATGAGAGAATATGTAATGTGATATAGATTGTGAGAGAGGATGTTATGTGACATAGATTGTGAGAGAAGATGTTATGTGATATAGATTATGAGAGAAGATGTAATGTGATATAGATTGTTAGAGAAGATGTTATGTGACATAGATTGTAAAGAAGACTTTATGTGATATAGATTGTGAGTGACAGAAGATGTTATGTGATATAGATTGTGAGAGAAGATGTAATGTGACATAGATTGAGAGAAGATGTTATGTGATATAGATTGTGAGAGAAGATGTTATGTGATATAGATTGTGAGAGAAGATGTTATGTGACATAGATTGTAAAGAAGACTTTATGTGATATAGATTGTGAGTGACAGAAGATGTTATGTGATATAGATTGTGAGAGAAGATGTTATGTGACATAGATTGAGAGAAGATGTTATGTGATATAGATTGTGAGAGAAGATGTTATGTGATATAGATTGTGGGAGAAGACATTATGTGATATAGATTGTGAGAGAAGATGTTATGTGACATAGATTGAGAGAAGATGTTTTGTGATATAGATTGTGAAAGAAGATGTTATTTGACATAGATTGTGAGAGAAGATGTTATGTGATATAGATTGTGAGAGAAGATGTTATGTGATATAGATTGTGAGAGAAGATGTTATGTGATATAGATTGTGAGAGAAGACTTTATGTGATATAGATTGTGAGAGAAGATGTTATGTGATATAGATTGTGAGAGAAGATGTTATGTGATATAGATTGTGAGAGAAGATGTTATGTGATATAGATTGTAAGAGAAGATGTTATGTGACAGATATAAAAAATGTTACGTGGTAAAGATTGTGACAGAATATGTGACAAAGCATGTAACAGAACATGTTGATAAATATATGACATTAATTGTGATAGAACATGTTTTATATGATATACAGATTGTGACAGTACATGTACTGTGACATAGATCATTACATAGCATGTTATGTGACATGTTATGACAGAACATGTGATGTGATAAACCAATTGTGACAGAACATGTTTTGAGGCATAGACTGTGACAGAAAAAGTATTATGTGACATTGATTGTGATAAAATCTGTTATGTGACATAAGGACTGTGACAGATGATGTTACATGACAAACAGAGTGACAGAATATGTCATGTGACAATGACTCTGACAGAATATGCTATGTGATATCCATATTGTTGCAGGATTTGATATGCAATTTCATTTTTATGTAAATGCATACAACAACAATCTTTTGTAAGTAGACATTATTGCATTTACTACTATACCAGGGCCCTCGCCAGGCTTTTAGACTGTGGCGCAGCACCACACTCTATTTAGCCCCCTCCACACCCTATTGGCAAATCATGACTGTTTCCACAGTCTAAACTTGACTGAATATACAATAATAGCATGTGAAAAGGATACAACATAACATAAATATGATTTATCACGACTGAACGGTTATTCTGCAGATGTTAGCACCACACCCTAAATATTGCCTGGTGAGAGCCTTGATACGCTCTGATGGTGATACAGTGTGTCCCACATTTGAAGACATACAAGCTAAAAATAAAGCTGTTATAACTACACCTATTGTAAAATTCATCTAATCTTTATACAGAATATATACCACTATCTGTTGAATACATTCTACTTCTAGACATTCTTTCAAGGTTTGCAACTATGCAACTAATCTAAACTAAATTTACAACAACGGATATGTACTATACAGAGGCCTAATGACAGTTTTCTAAGTATTATATTGACTAAATTGTTACAGGGTTTCAGCCAGCATTTTTTCCCTCCAAAACAATGCTTTTCGGTGTCAGCTTTAAAATTTGGATTGTGCCCAGATTTCAACAGTCGGAGAAACTTTTATTATGTTAGTTTTCATTTCAATCTTGAGTCCCCTCTCCATTTATATAATCATTAATTTCAAAAATGTTAATCATATAATTTTTCATATCCATAGTTTTTCAAAACAATTATTCATTTTTCATTATTATATACCCCATATGTATTCTAGATGCTAATTGGCTTATTCATCGTCACATGATATGAAATAGATGAACTAAATCCCCGGAAAGTCCTAAATCCCTGCTAACAGGGAAGATGAAATGTATTAATCACCAGTTAGGTCATGTGATCAGTCATTAGTACATTTTATCTTCCCTGCTAGCTGTGATTTATAGGAGTTGAATGGCAAAATGTCTTTAAATGCCAATAACAACATTAAATCTTTAATGAAATTAAAAGACTTTTGATTTTGTTTTTTGTTTACAGAGTACACAAGGGGTTTATAATAAAACAAATAGTGACTGCCACATTTTTGGGAAATAGTGTAAAAATTTCCCCTCGGGAATATCCTGTCAACCGGAATATTCACTCGGCCTGCAGCCTCGGGAACATGTCAGTGGACAGGATATTCCCTTGGGAAAAATACTTTGCACTATTTCCCTCAATGGCAGTCACTATTTGTATACCAACCACATCTCTAGTTAACATTCTTTTTTTAAACAACTTTCAATACTTAGATATGGTCCCTTATTTACTATGTGCAGGTTATTGGTGAGAAAGTCACGAACCAATCAGAGTTTAAGTATAGAACCAACTTAATTTTAAGATTATCGCATGTTGGAAAGAGAAATCTGTAGTTCTGGGCCTTGTGGCCTCACTTGTTATGTGATGTGAGAATGTCTAAATAATTCATGGAGGGATTTATGAATGTTTATGAGCAAATGGTCTCATAATGAGCTGGCTTAAACCCTGTGATAGGCATGGTCAAATATCAATGTGTTATTTCTTCATGAAACTTACTTTTAGTGAGGAGGGGATCGGAATATATCACATGGAGTGGATGATATCGTAGCTTCAATATACTGTATATGGAATATGGGGGAGGTTACACAAAATTAGTTGGTAAAAACATTGATATTTAACTCAGCCTCTAACTACACTGTTCATTTTGCCTGTTACATGTTAACTTATTAGTAATTTTTATTGCCTACCTGACATTTTCATAGCCTGGTGACGTGATTGTGATCTTCACTGAAGTCTCTGTAGGTGTTCCAAGGCACGCCCAATGTGCAGATATGGTAGGGTCTGGGATGGACTTTATAACGCTGTCCAGCAGTTTAGTTGCTCTGAATATGAATTGAAGGTTGGCTAAATAGATTTGACGTCTCACCAAAATTTACATTTTTAACCATTAAAGAAAAGAATAACATGGTGACAGAAGAATAACATGGTGACAGTATTATAGTATTATAGCTATGGTACATGTATATTGCATTGTAAAAGGCATTGTACCAGAGAACAACGAGTCAATTTAGAAGATATCTAAGGTGTAGCTATTACAGTATATATTATATAATCACACTCAGGACATTTTGATATATTAAGAAAAAATATTTCTTGGACATTTGCATGATATCATTCATATAATTAGACTTAGTTTTACAGGGGTAATATTTGCCTAATTCTTTAACATTGTCTTCAATATGGAATGCACTTAGGTATTTTATCAGGATGATTCAAAAATAACAAAATACACTGAACACATGTTGTATGGCTAGATACTGGTTATAACAGTGACAATCTCAAACACTACTGGTAGACAGCCAACATTTCTTTTGGGTTCATTTAACTTTAAACTTACAAAATATTTGCCCTTACCTGTTTCTTAAGATCACATGCTTGGCCTGGTTAATTATTTGTTCTAATATTGTTTTGCTAGAAAACAAGTCACATATTAAACATTTAAAAAACAATTACCAATATTTACAACATAATACAAAACAAGGCATCAATATGGAAAATGTCACCACCTGCCATTTGCTACAGATGGTGACCAACAAATGCCAAACACCAACTGCCAAACAACATGCACAAATAATTTTTTTGGTGGTGACATAATGATTCTTGATTGGTTAATATGAGTTAACATAAGTTATCAAATATATTGAGAGTCCTATAACAACACAGGTTTGTGGGATTAACACCTAAGTCTGAGCTTCATACGGTTCGATTTTTTTGATGGTCAAAGATGAAACTCAAAAATGAAACCGAAAATCCTTAAATAAATAAAAAACACCCCCGTGCAATTCACGAAAATATTACTGTGGAGATTCAAACTCCAATAACATTATTTAATAAATAAATATATCATATGTTAGCTGTTAAAATAATCGATCCTGTATTACACACAAAAATATTGAACACATTTTACCTGTCTGATAGCTCTAGCAGCTGTTCTGTGCTGTAACCATGGGGACCAGCCAGTCTGCGTCGTTTAGACATCCCAAGGGTGGAGGTGACTGGGTGGGGGGCTGGGTGGTGGAGGTTCTTGTAGTGCACCTAACATATAAAACATGGTGTAAAATAGACACACCCTCTAGGGCACATAAAATATAGACATCTTTGCATTGGCAAAAATTGAAAATAAAATCATAATACTGTAATAATAATGTCACTCTGTCAACATTTCAACATAAATAATTATTATCATGAATGAAAATTTATTTGGTTTTTCACAGTGGTATTCTATAGCGTATAGTCTTAAATGAGAAGATAAAAGTTCAAGTAAAGATCTTGAAGTTATTTATCCAAACTATCACGCAATCCAGTTGTTTTATGAAAACAAAGACAGTTGCAATTAAGGAATCACATTGTACAATGTTGTTGAAAGACAAACGTCTGTATCAAATTTCTGTATCGAGAGTGAGATATATAAGGGTTATGTACTGGAAGGTTTTGTATATGAGGTTAATCTAGAGGGATATATGGATATCTACCTGAGGGACAATAGAATATATCTTACCAGCTTATCTCCCTTAAACTCTCCTTGGCATAGGGTAAAGACACAAATACATACCTCACACAGTAGTTGATGAAGTGAGTGTTCCAAGACATGGTTGTGCTCTGTGTTCTGTGCACTGGACAGGGTGATATTCTTCTCCTTGCCAGTGTAATGACATAATGCTATACTCAACTGGTATCCCGGGAACAACTGGAGATACATACGAAACACACATGATGACATGCATATAATAATGGGGTTTAGGTAACCTGTCACCATTCACCAATTGTGAATATTTTTAGCACCGGGCAAAGATATTGATCTTAATATTCACAAAGGTGGGGAAAATCTTTGAACTGAACCTACCTGAAAAACAGATAAATTATCAGGGAAATTTTCCATGTTAACTTTTATAATTTCACCCATGAGACGCCACAGTTGTTTTGTTTCAATGGAAATTGAACACACTGGGCAACCCCATCAGATCTGTTGCGTTTGATATTTAAATAAATCAGCTGAGATGCCAAAACTTGTTTTCAGGTCAATGCAAATTTAACAGTAGCTCATATTTACAAATCTGTTTCATTTGTTTTTCTGTTACATTCATTTTATAAAGACAGGACCATTGAGGTCTTTCTGACCAGATTAGAAGGTGGGTTATCTCGGTTGTCATATGTTAGCATTAGCAGGATAATTACATGTGAAATTTTTAGGAGTAAGGCAGTGAGGGTGACACGCAAAGTATTGTGGGTAATTATTTTTAGAAAATATTAGCCACATTGGCTGATATTGTTTCAGCTTATCCAGACCCCTGATATAATACAAATCAATTTTAAACTATTTGTGAACTCTACATTAATTCTTGGCTCTAATTTCATTTTCATTGCTTATGTTTGCTTCTAAAATACAACCTGCCAACTGTAACATAAAATTAACATATTTTGCTACCTTCACTTATCACATGCTTATTGAAGTAGAACATATCAGAATGCAGGGTGCACCAACTGACCACATTATACATGTACTCTATTCATGAAATCAAATATTTGAAAGGGTCAGACACTCACTATAAAAAGTTGACCAATTCTGTCAGCTTATAGTTTTGAAATCCTTGTACATGTATAAGGACTACATAGAAAATATAAGTTTCAAACAGACAGAAAAATGGCTGACAGAAAGACCCCAAAATTCAACAGAGATAAAACTGCATTTGAGAACATGTCAGATATTTGGAAGAGTAAAGCAAAGACATACTTTGTACGGTTTGACGCTAACTCTGATGGAATTCATGAGCGCAAAGATTATGAGGCCATTATCGAGAGGTTAATTAACCATATGAAAACTCATGGTATCGAACCTACCAAGCAACAAATAGAGAGGTTTAACCACACATTCATCGATACAGTTTGGTGCGAAAGTGTGGCTGGAGGTCATGATACTGGATATGACAGAAAAATCACCATGGAAGAATTCTGCAACAATATCGCAGAACATATGATTCCTAACATAGAGTTCTGTACTGGTGTAACACTTCAATTCGCCTCACACATATTTGATGCTATTGATTTAAATCGTGATAATGTACTTTCCTTGAAAGAGTACTCAGCCTTTCTTGGAATGCTAGATGTTGACGAGGAACATGCCAAAATTGCGTTTTTGTCAATTAACAAAGGAACTGGGGACACAATTAGCCGCGAGGAGTTTTGTAATGCATACAGTGACTTCTGGATGAATTTTGAAGAAGGTGGAATTGGGGAGAATGTTCTCGGACCTATAGTAAGATGGTAAATGATGTGCTGCAGAAAATAAACATAACTTTGAACTAATATATCGTTGGTTGTATGGGAGAAAAGGTTAACTTTTTTTAAACATTAATAATGACTTATACAATTTAAAATGGTGAGTGAATAACTTGCGAATATAACTTTAGCAGAATGTGAACTTGACCATTGACTCGAAGATGGTAAATTATGTACTGCAGAAAATGAACATAATTTGGAACTAATATGTGGATAGTCTGGGAGTAACAGCTGATTTATATAACATTAATGAAGACTTCGTTATATTACTAAATAAAATGAAAGCTGAAAAATCTGTGAATATGACAATCAGAAAGAGAACTCAGGACCTATGACTAAAAGAACAGAATAACAAAGATGAAAATAATATAATAATTTTTTATGATATATGTTTTATGTAACAAATATCACCACAATTGTAAGATATATCTAACTCATTACAATAGGCTTTTCAGATAAACACTGCCACCTTTTGGCAACCACCATCTTAGCTGTGTTTCATGGATAAAACTAGAAAAACAGCAACTCCACGGAGTAGCAAATCCCACCGAACAAAACATATTATGCTTATTATAGCTAGTGTAAATGTTGAAATGTTTGTGCACTTTGTGATAGAAGCATAAAATTTGGCACAAAGTTAGTTTATACCATTGTGAACTAGGCATCATCATATAAAATCTGAACCAAATCCGTTCACTGGTATATGAGTTATCAAAGATTACGTGCTTTATGAAAATCGGCCGCCATCTTGAAATTCAGACGCCATTTTGAAAATTATTTCTTGAACAGAGCTACTGTGTCCCTAGGCATAATCATATAAAATTTCAACCAAATCTGTTCACTGGTATTTGAGTTATCAAAGATTACATTTTTTACGAAAAATTGCCGCCATTTTGAAATTAAGCGGCCATCTTGAAAAATTTTTGTCGAACATAGCTACTGTGTCCCTAAGCATCATCATATAAAATTTGAACCAAATCCGTTCACTGGTATTTGAGTTATCAAAGATTACATATTTTTACGAAAAATGGCCGCCATTTTGAAATTAAGCGGCCATCTTAAAAATCTCCTTTTGTGCGAAACTCCTTTGTCCCTAGGCATCAGTATATAAAATTTGAACCAAATCCGTCAACTTGTATTTGAGTTATCAACGATTACATTTTTTACAAAAAATGGCAGCCATTTTTAATTGAGCGGCCATATTGAAAATTCCTTCTCGGGCAGAGGTCCTACACTCATAAGCATGAGTCTATAAAATTTGAACCAAATCCGTCAACTGGTATTGGAGTTATCGCCCGGACACACGGACAAACGGACGGACGGACGGCTTCTCTATATCCCCCTCGAACTTCGTTTGGTGGGATAATAAATAGAGGTTATTTAATGGGAGGGATGGAATATGAATCTTATTCCAAGATAAAATATGATATTAGCTATGGAACATACAGTATATGGGCCGAAGGTGGTAGCAACAGGATTCTGATACAGGATTTTTTGAATATCAATCTATTCCATGTTTATTTCCAAGGGAAAACATTTTAGTTTTTAGCATGGGCTTTCATCTGATTGAAAGCCCGTGTTTTTTAGGGAATGATATATTTTATTTACATGTGCATGAGTATTATATAGTTTTTGTTTGGCACAAGCGCCTTAAACTTTTCATCATTTTTTTACTGGGTGACTATTAATACACCCCTTGGGGTGTTCAGGTCACATGACATGTTTGTATGTTCGATTGTATGTTAATAAAAAAATGTGTGATGAGCAAGTTTTCATACTAAGTGTTACTGATCAGTGTTCTCCTCAGGATTTTTTCTCAAGTGGGTGCAAAATTTTTGATTTCACAAGATATGTGCGGATTTTTGTGATTTTTCTCATTTTCAAGTGGGTGCTAATGGATTCTCTGGTATGTGCAAGCCTATTTTAAAATCCCAAATGGGTGCAGCATCCACTTGATTTAATGCTGGGGAGATCACTGCTGATAGCAAAATAATCAAAAGGAGACAAATGTGCACCTACCAATTTCTGCTTCTTTTGTCATTGAAACCTTGATTTTGAACAAGAAGGCCATACCCATAATGACGTAACAGTCAACAGAGAGTAAAACTTAACAAATTAATCTGATTGGGAAATTATTTCTATCCTCAAAAAACATTTTTTGTTTTTCACTGAGATCCCATGCAGTATACAGGAGAAGTACATAATACTATCCTTGTCATCCTTTGTTAGAATTAACAACTGTACTACACTTTTTTAGAATAATTCTCTGGTTTAATCTAAATAAACCTCACTTGATATTAGGTACTTAGAAAAAGTGGGTCTGTAATCGAAGTATTTGAAAATTGTTCTCATCTTTAACTTCCACCATAAATAGATTGGGACAAATATTCTTCTGAATATTATTAAAGCTTGAATCGAATTCTACTACTTGCACATTTTTCAAACCCAAAACTTGAAATGGTATATACATCATGATTATATATCATCCGAGTTCAAAATATTTTAGGAAGAAAATAAGATACCCCTTAAAGTCCCCGTCTAAAGTTTGAAAATATTTTTTTATCATTCATTTACTATTTGTCAGGACTTAAAAAGTGATTTTAGAGATTTTTGAACAAAAAATTTTTTTTGAAAAAAAAGTTGTGACAATTTCATTTCTCAAATATTCAAATTTCCCGCCATTTTTCAAAAAATGTTGAAATTTCTTAATCATCAAATATTTCTTAATGCATTTCAAAAAAGATCATATTTTTAACACCAATGCAAAGATTGAACAAAAGACACACTATTTCAATAATAAAATGTCATATTTAATGGGCCACTTCAATGTTTTAGCTTATCAAAAATATTTTGAAACATTAGTGATGTCACTAAGGTAACAAAAACTTTTTGAAAAAAATTGAATTTTTTTTTTTCGATGTCAATCTTTTCTAAATATGCTAGACTTTCATAAAAAAAACAATGTTGATTGTCTAACCAGGTTAAAAGGAAGAATAAATTATATTTTAGATATCATTGTACCATTGGTTTCTATGAGAACTAAAATTTTGAAATGCATTTTTCTCAGAACCATTTTCATGCACTGATAAGTTCATTTCTCGCTTGTTGATCAACCGATTTTCTTAATTTTTTCGGCAAAAAACACGAGAGGATGAAAGCTATGCATTGGTGTGAATTGTGGCTAATTAGAAGATATGAGTGACCTCTAAAAGTTGGTTTTAAATAAATTCACAAATTTTGGAACAAAAAGTCTATCAAAAATCACTTTTTGAAATTAAAAAAAAAGTTTCACATATCACACTTTGATAACATTGGGTAAGACTACAATATAAGCCAAAGTGGTTTAAACTTTACATGGGGCCTTTAAAGATACAGAAAACCACTGAACAAAACATATTTCATCAAGTCACTCCTCATTTTGATTAATTCATGATAAAAGCTCTTGAACTTGAGTTATCAAAGACTTTTTTTCATGAAAAATGTAGACCATCTTGAATTGAGCAACCATATTGGAAATTCCTTTTTTAGTATGGAATCTACACACAAAGGACATTTTCGAACATGGACTAAATTGGACAACTGATATTTGAGTCAAAAAATAGTAGCCAATTAGAATTCAGTGGCCAAAGTTTCTTCCTAAGCAGCTATATTACTCTAAGAGCGAGGAGGAAAATTCTTAATAAATGGAGTATAGTTGGTTTGGGAGCATTTTCAGTTAGAGGGAAGTCTTGGATGAAAATTCTACCTAGGTGATAGCTTCACAGAGTGGTACATAATTCTTTTTTTTCAGGGGTAAGCCCCCCACCCCCCAAAAACACCCCACCCCCGGAAAATAATTTTTTCATCTTCAATGAATTTAGATATCTTGATGTTTTTAAGTTACATACATAGACATTATATATATGAATCATTTGCAAAATAAATAATGCCAATCACTCCTACAGAATTTGAAAAAGAGTACAAAGTATGTACCCCAGGGGGCAAATTTGTGACCCATTTTCTTACTTTTTAGAGCCTCACTTTTCAATCAGACACTGGAAGACATTGAAAAATTTCATGTGAAGTGCCCAGTAGCAGGGCTATAAGCCCTGAAAGGTTCAAACTAATTGAATTAGTAGGAGCTGAGAAAAAATTGTTGATTTTTTGAAAAATTTGACATTTTTGAGAGGGGTGATTTTGTGAATGACTATAGCTGATGCCTATGGTTTCCAGATCTATCCCTCTTTGATGATAAATATAGTTTTGAAGTATGGAACTAAGATGTAAAAAATAATTAAAATGGGTTTTAAGGAAGTTTAATGTATAAACAAGTTCAAAATTCGAAGAACTGTACAATATCAGGTCTGAATTTACAAATTTTAGGTAAGACCTTGGATGAGCCTTAGATTTTTTACATCTGTCCCCTTTTGATGATATTTATGGCTTTGTAGTGTGGAACTAAGATGTACAAAATAATTTAGATGGTTTTTAAGAAGGTCTAAGGATTTTAACAAGTTCAAAATTTGAAGAATTGTACAATATCAGGTCTGAATTTACGAATTTCAGGTGAGACCTTTGATGAGCCTTATATTTTTCACATCTGTCCCTCTTTGATGATATTTATGGTTTTGTAGTGTTAAACTAATATGTAAGAAATAACCTAGATGGTGTTAAAGAAGGTTTAAGGAATTTAATGAGTCCAAAATTTGAAGAATTGTACAATATCAGGTCTGAATTTACGAATTTAAGGTATGACCTTGGAAGACCCTTATGTTTTTATATTTGTCGCTCTTTAATGATATTTATGCTTTTAAAGTAACGAACTAAAATGTAAAATATAATTTAGATGAATTTTAAGAATGTTTAAGGATTTTAACAAGTTCAAAATTTGAAAAATTGTATAATATCCGGTCTGAATTTACGAATTTCAGGTAAGACCTTTGGTGAGCCATATATTGTTTACATTTGTCCCTCTTTAAAGATATGTATGGTATTGTAGTGTGGAACTAAGATGTAAAAAACAATTAAGATGGATTTTATGAAGTTTTAAGGATTTTCACATGTTCAAAATTTGAAAAATTGTATAATATCCGGTCTGAATTTACGAATTTCAGGTAAGACCTTTGGTGAGCCATATATTGTTTACATTTGTCCCTCTTTGAAGATATGTATGGTTTTGTAGTGTAGAACTAAGATGTAAAAAAGATGTAAAAAAGAATTAAGATGGATTGTAAGAAGGTTTAGTGATTTTCACACGTTCAAAATCTTGGCGCATTGTACAATATTAATTCGGCAATTAACACTACATTTCAAGTATAACCTTGGTTGGCTCTAAACATTTAGAAAAAATTGTTGACACGGGGTTCCAATTTATAATTTTTCATGAGGACTTCACTTGAAAGAAAATATTTTTTTTAATAAACACCACTGTATTTATGCCCAGAAAGTACTCATGGTGAAATATATGCTACGAGTATACCGGCTTCATAAAATCCATGCTTCACACCCAGAACACTATGTAACTATTTCCATGCATAAACACGAGCGCAGCAACTTAGCAAGATTACGCTCAGGAACTTTACCGCTGAAGGTTGAAACAGGCAGGTTTCAAGGTATTCCCCTTCAAGAAAGATTATGCATGTGTCAACAAGGGGTCGAAGATGAAATGCATATCCTCATTGACTGTGATCTTCATACTTGTGCACGAAGGGATTTTATTGAACTTTGCAAAAATGAAATAACTGACTTTAATACATTATCTAGTCTAGCTAAATACTGCTCAATTATGAACAATTCTATTTTACAAAGACCATTGGCAAAAACTATACATAAAATAATGTGCAATAGAAGAGAATATGATATTTAAAACTTTTACATCTGAGCATATTTTTGATATATTTTTACATTGCTTTCTTGAGTCTCTCATACGCCGAAGCCGGCGGGACTGTTAATTATTGCTATTTTAGTATGTATATTGTTTACAGTGTGAGACTTTAATAAATATTTTACTAACTACTAACTATGACCGTCTAAAATCACTTGCCATACTGCACATGGACCTTTTTGAATATTTCTGGCTTATGTCATTCCTTTTCATGTCTATTTGCTAATAATCCCCAAAGTGCACACTTTATTTCAGGAAAACTAAAGATTTCTACAATAATGTATTATTTTTCCATAAGAAAGCTTACCATTCTTATCATTTTGGGAGAATTTAAACATTTTTCACCCATTTTTGCTTTTTGAATCCATTATTACCTCATCAATTTTTAACACATCGTGAATCTTTTTGGAGATATTGTATTTGAGATTGTAAGCAATAGATTAGTACATGGATTGTACATGTTGTTTGTAATTTTGTCACACCCATAGATCTGATTCTGCCTTTAAACTTAACACATCGTGAATCATTTTGGAGATATTGTATTTGAGATTGTAAGGAATAGATTGGTACATGAACTGTACATGTTGCTTGTAATTTTGTCACACCCATAGATCTGATTCTGCCTTTAAACTTCCTTAAAACCCATTTAAATTATGTTTTACATCTAAGTTCCATACTACTAAACCATATATATCATCATAGAGAGATACATACCTGAAATTCGTTAATGTCAGAAGATATGATATTGTACAATTTGTCAAGTTTTGAACAGGTTTAAAACCCTAAACCTCCTTAAAACCCATCTAAATTATGTTTTACATCTTAGTTTCATAGTACAAAACCATATATGTTATCATAGAGAGATATATGTAAAAAACGAATAAGGGCCATTCACAGTTATACCTAAAATTAATAAATTCCAGACCTGTTATTATACAATTCTTCAATTTTTATATTGTTTCAACCTTAAGCTTCTTTAAAACCTGTCTACATTTTGTTTAACATCTTAGTTCAACACTACTAAAGCATCGTATATGTCATCAAAAAGGGATAGCTGTAAAAAACATAAGGCTCACCTAAACCCCCAATATTCATTAATATCAGCTCTGATATTGTACAATTCGTCAAAATTTGAACTTGTTTAAAACCTTAAACTTCTTTAAAACCTGTCTAAATTTTGTTTTACATCTTAGTTCAACACTACTTAAAAAGGGGATAGATGCAAAAAACATAATACCTAAAATTCATTAATATAAGCTCTGATATTGTACAATATGTGAAAATTTGAACTTATTTAAAACCTTAAACTTCTTTAAAACCCATCTTGATTATGTTTTATATATTAGCTCCACACTACTAAATCATATATATCATCAAAAAGGATAGATGTTAAAAATATAAGGGCCAAGCAAGGTTATACTTGAAATTCATTAATTTCAGATCTGATATTGTACAAAACGCCAAGATTTTGAACTTGTTTAAAATGTAAAGCTTCTTTAAAATCGATGTAAATTATGTTATACATATTTCCACACAACTAAACTAAATATATCATGAAAAGGGGATAGGTGTTAAAATCATATGGACTAACCAAGGTTTTACTTGAAATTCATTCATTGCAGACCTGATATTGTACAATTCTTCAAATTAAAATCCTTAAACCTTCTTAAAATGCATCTAAATTATTTTTTACATCTTAGTTCCACACTACAAAACCACACATATCATCAAAGAGGGATAGGTGTAAAAAAATATGAGGCTTATCCAAGGTCTTACCTAAAATTTGCAAATTCAGACCTGATATTGTGCAATTCTTCAAATTTTGAACTTGTCAGAATCCTTAAACCTTCTTTAAATTCATCTAAACTATATTTTACATCTTAGTTCCATACCATAAAACTATAACTGTCATTAAAGAGGGACAGATGTAAAAAATTAAAGAGTCGTCCAAGGTCATACCTATAATTCGAAAATTCAGACCTGATATTGTATAATTCTTTAAATTTTGGACTCATTAAAATCCCTAAACACTCTTCAAATCCATCTTAATCATTTTTAACATCTTAGTTCCACTTTAAAAAACAATACATCATCAAAGAGTGACAAATGTAAAACATAAGAGCCATCCAAGGTCTTACCTGAAATTCATAAATTCAGACCTGATATTGTACAATTTTTTCAAATTTGGAACTTGTTAAAATCCTTAAATCTCTTAAAATTCATCTAAATTATATTTTACATCTTAGTTTCACACTACAAAACCATAAATTTCATCAAAGAGGAACAGATGTAAAAAACAAAAGGGTCGTCCAAGGTCATACCTGAAATTTGAGAATTCAGACCTGATATTGTACAATTCTTCAAATTTTGGACCTATTGAAATCCCTAAACACTCTTCAAAACCATCTAAACTATTTTTACATCTTAGTTCCACACTACAAAACAATACATATCATCAAAGAGTGACAGATGTTAAAACATAAGAGCCATCCAAGGTCTTACCTGAAATTCGTAAAATTCAGAACTGATATTGTACAATGTGCAATTTTGAACTATTTAAAAATTCTTCCTTCTTAGAATTCATCTAAATTATATTTTACATCTTAGTTCCACACTATAAAACCATAAATACCATCAAAGAGGAAAGGATTTAAAAGACATAAGGGTCATCCAAGGTCAAACCTGAAATTCATAAATTCAGACCTGATATTGTACAATTCTTCAAATTTCGGATTCATTTAAAATCCTTAAACTTTCTTCAAATCAATCTTAATTATTTTTTACTAATTAGTTTCACACTACAAAACCATACATATCATCAAAGAGGGACAAATGTAAAAAATATAAGGCTCATCCAAGGTCTTACCTGAAATTCGTAAATTCAGACCTGATATTGTACAATTCTTCAAATTTTGAACTTGTTAAAATTCTTAAACCTTCTTAAAACCCATCTAAATTATTGTGTACATCTTAGTTTCATACTACAAAACCATAAATATCATCAGAGGGGGACAGATGTAAAAAATATAAGGCTCATCCAAGGTCTTACCTAAAATTTGTAAATTCAGACCTGATATTGTACAATTCTTGGAATTTTGAACTTGTTTAAAACATGAAACTTCATTAAAACCCATTTTAATTATTTTTTACATCTTAGTTCCATACTTCGAAACCATATTTATCATCAAAGAGGGATAGATCTGGAAACCATAGGCATCAGCTATAGTCATACACAAAATCACCCCTCTCAAAAATGTCAAATTTTTCAAAAAATCAACAATTTTTTTCTCGGCTCCTACAAATTCAATTATTTTGAACCTTTCAGGGCTTATAGCCCTGCTACTGGGCACTTCACATGAAATTTTTCAATGTCTTCCAGTGTCTGATTGAAAAGTGGGGCTCTAAATAGTAAGAAAATGGGTCACGAATTTGCCCCCTGGGGTACATACTTTGTAGTATTTTCCAAATTCTGTAGGAGTGATTGACATTATTATTTTGCAAATGATTCATATATATAATGTTTATGTATGTAACTTACAAACATCAAGATATCTAAAATTATTGAGAATGAAAAAATTATTTTCCGGGGGTGGGGTGTTTTTGGGGGGTGGGGGGCTAACCCCTGAAAAAAAAGAATTATGTACCACTCTGTGAAGCTATCACCTAGGTAGAATTTTCATCCAAGACTTCCCTCTAACTGAAAATGCTGCCAAACCAACTATACTCCATTTATTAAGAATTTTCCTCCTCGCTCTTAGAGTATATTGGAAATGGGAAATTCCTTTTGGAGCAGAGGTCTTATCCTCATAAAGTATCAATCTACAAAGTCAGAACCAAATCAGTCAACTGGTACTTGAGTTATTGTCCAAAGAGAATGAATGGTTTCTCCATATCTCTATTCACAAGGTGAGATAAAAGGTGAAAATGTAGCCTACCCTTGCAATGATCTGGTTCCCAACTACCATATGTGGCACAGCTGTCTTCATCTGAACTGCCTCTCGTGCCAACTACAATAAATGTACATAAAGAATTTGAAGATGAAGATTCTCGGTTAGTACCCTTAAGGGCCCTTTTAGGTATGTAAGTCTCAGGAAGTACATACAGAATGAAATGAACACAGTATTTGTGATATTACAAATGTTACTAAAAAGATAATATTTCAACATATATTATATCTTTCGTTGAAAAATAAAATACCTGTTTCGATAAAAAGTTTATCCGGGTAGTCATAACATGACACATCAGACAGTAAAATATTTGTGATCTACTCTGGGTACTTGAATCTACACTTCAATATACATGGACATACTATATAATAGGCACAGCTTTGAATTCAAATAAAAACATACCTGTGCGAATACTTCTTTGCAGAATATAACCATCTGTGCTGACTCTAGTCTGGTCTTCCAATGAGTGTCAGTTTTAGACATGCTATCTACCAGTGTACTGGGGATACTCAAGTCAGCCACTGCTATGTTACTGGAATCTATATACAAAATCACTTTCATCTCAACCATACGAATATTCTCTCTGGGAATTATCCTACTGAGAGAAAAATTAAAATTTGATTTGTAGAAGGTCAAATATATCTACATTCTCTCTGTGAGATTTCTGAAAACTAAAACATTAATATAAGAAATTTTTGAAATTTGAATTTAATAGACTAATATTTTGGGGTTTAAAAGATTCAATAAATAATTGATCACAAACCTTGTGTATTTTGTATAGAGACCTGTACATATGCAACACCCTGTAGTTCACTTGGTACAGATACTTCTAATGCACTAAATGGTTTAACCATGTGGTCACCTGCAGAGGTTTGGTCTGCTTTCTTCACCTCAAATGTTCCAGTGTGCCAGAACCTTGATCCAGCTTGAAGAACATAAAATAATTGGGTACACTGTATGAGTAAAATATAACAAGGCATTAACATTACAAGATGTCATCTTCAAAGTAGAAAATCAATTTTATTTGTGGTTGGTCATGCAATTAGTTTTTCAAACAACTTCAATCTCTTGTATACCTGATTTATAGCTGAGGTCTCCAAGGATTGTTTGTCCAGTTTTCTTCAATCTCCAGGATTGTCTGAGTCTTAGCAACTCAAGATGGAAGTCTTGTTGTGTCCTTGTCAGTTCACCCTGAGACCTTTGTAACCTTTCAGCCCCACTACATAGGATTTCTGACACTGTCTGCAGGCTCTGTGTGAACAATACAATACAGTACATATCAATAACTTCATAGGGTCCAGGAAACTGGGCATGAAAGACATGGCTGCAATGCTATAATGTATATGCAATGTTGACCTGGAAGAGTCAATTGGTCCTATAGCTCAGTGGTAAAGCATTCATCCAGAAAACGAGAGGTTGTGGGTTCGATCAACTCTGAGGTGGACTTTTTCACATCAGCCTGTAGCACAGCATTTCATTCTGTGTTTTCATTAACTACATTGCAATAATATACAATAAGTTTCTATCATGTCCGAGTTGTTGGACGTGAAGATCAAAGGTCTTAAAATCAACACACCAATTACATGACTATGTCTAAACAACAATTGTCTCAATTATAACAGTTCACATATACGTTATAAAAAATTCACATTTAAACTGTAGATTATTGTAATATTGCATGCAAATACATTTTTAAACTGACCTTCTTCTTAGCTTGCAGATATCCTCCAATCTTTTGTTCCTGTGGTTCTTGCTGTACAGGGTCTAGCACCATGTAACGTTTCTCTTTGGCAATGTTAAGTATATCCAGAAGTACATTCATCTCTGTCAGAGCGGCCCTGTAACAACACAAAACAATATGCCAGGTGACCAACTTCATAGATGGACAGTAAATAGGTAGTATGGAGGTTGTCTAAAGTTTACTTCCAAAAAATGTGGAGTAAAATCATACTAAAATAAAGATAAGTCACTTCAGATATCAAATTTATGATTTTGTTTCAATTATCAACAGAAATCTTACTTTAGTTTTGTCCTCACTGAGTCCCATGGCCAAGTAGGCTGTTGGAATGCTGATGTTTTTTCTTCTTCTTTTTCTTCCCCTTCTATTTCAGATGTCTGTCTCTTTACTCCACTTCCTGTTGTATCTTCACCAAAGTCTATCTTTTGTGCAAGCTTCGTCAAGCTCTCTGACATAGACAGAGGCCTAAAATATACACCATTTAAACATTTTTAATGTAAAATATAAATTTATTTTCCATATGTTACTACACTCTGGTCTTTTGATGCATATTTCTTGGGTTATATTGATGCAAAACCTAATTGAAATGGAAGTTGTAATCCATAGATAGTGTAAGATGATTTTCAAAAAATGTGAATGGGTGACATTATCAGGCCATCATCATCATATTTAGGAGGGTGAAATGACTGTGTTAAAACTGAAATGAATGCCCCGGGTATGAATGAGTACTAGAGACTGAGAACATGAATGATACTAGATACTGAGATGACGTACTCATGATTTAAATTTGAGAATGAGACTATCTGACTAATGATGGCTTTCAAATAAGAGATGAAGGGCACTAAGTATAATGTCACAGGGAACTGTATCAACACCCTAACCTGGAACAGAGACATATAAAACATTTTGTTTTATATGTCTCTGCCAGGAAGAATATTCTTCCAGGTTTTGCCATCAATAGATCCCAGAAACAGGTTCCTGAGCCACACGTTGGCTCACAGTGTTCAAATTACGGTGGTCTAATACTTACTTCAGTATTACCAGTATACAGAGTTGAGCATTGACTCTGTTGACTGAAGGAAATCTCTAAGTTTGAAAATAATGGGAAATTTTATAATTGAAAATGAAGCTTATTGAGAAGGCTTATGCATCGATAAATATCTCTATTTGAAGAAAACTTCTTACTGAATATATATTTCTTGTCCATCAAGAGTCACCTCTTGTATTTGGTTCTCAATTACGGGTTCAACGCTCACTTGTACTGGAGGAGCTGTCGCCATTATGATTATTTTGAGCAAAGCTAGCGAATTTTTTCTTGAAATGTAATCGTATTTCATTAAATTATGGTTTCAGTCTAAAAATACTTCATTAAAGCAAATTCTATTTAATTGAAATATATTTATTATTTCATGATTAAAACATATAAGTTGGCAATTAAATTTGTATATTTGGTTAGAAATACTTGTAATTGCATTTGTACGAGAATACTTTTTGAAATATATGTGAGCTTTGCTTATCAATTTGGATTTTTTATTTGTGGTTGCTAGACCTGGACAAACTTTTGTATTTTCCTTATATTCTGAGTCTAGGATGACTGGAGAAGTCACATAATTTGTCTGTGAGTATATGAATATGTTTTTCTTCTTGCAAGATGGTTGTTCGGAGTTGTACTGGTGATCAATTATAAAATATCTCTACAAAGCTAACAAAATCAACTGGTCAACTGACAGCATCAGCTAAGGTTATATTACAAAGTACTATTAGCACTTAGCACTATTTACACTATGCACAGCATTCCAAGATGGCATGACTTAGAGCTGTCATAAAAATGCAGGCGAGCTGACACTACTCTTTTCAAGATGTCTTACGAAAATCAGTATTTTTGAGTTTACGCTTTGTCACAGGAAGTTACGGTTGTTCTTCCAAGAATGATCTAAATCTCTATGAAAATGATAGGAACCTTAAGATAATAGCTAAAAGACTGTGTTGTCAGGATTTAAAATAGAGGGGGCTGCCCTTGATCTGATAAGTAGGACTATCAGAGTTTTGACTTTCATCAAAACATTTTGACTGAGTGCTCTTACCTTAGCATTATAAGTTGCAAGGACTTTGCTCTTTGTATCGTGTAGTATGTGTATATGAATTACCACTGTGTATAATTGTATAACTTTTTTTTGTAGAAAAAAAGAAGAATTCAAGATGAGTGATGGCAGCCCATTATTGAATGACTACAAAAGTGAGTTTGTTTGGAAACGAATCCCACAAACATTATTTGGTGGGCTAAAACTCAGACTAGGCTACGATGCCCCAGCTTATGTGTATTTAAACCAAATAGTACTTTGGCTGTTACCATGGCTTTTTGGTGGGGTATTTACCCTTTTAGTGGAGTTAAATGTAATACACTACACCATTGGGATGTATGTGTATGGTGCTTTGATGACCATCTATGTAATAGTAGTAAACATCATAACACTTGTAGTTCAGACAAAAAGCTCTGCAATCTCTCCATTGAGCAATACAAACAATCTATTAGCTGATGATGATGAAATTGATTTTACATCTTGTTGCGGGGTACAAACATTTGAGTTCGTGGTACCTGGGAAAAAATACAAAATTAACATTGTGCTTCATGGATTGTTATCAGGGCCTCTATGCGCCTTAGGATTCTGGTACCTGTTACCTCAGACTTTATCTGGCTTGTATGGGAGTGTAGCTGGGACTGTGATACTGTACATATTGGGATGGATCACCCTGTTAATTGCTCAGTACTCACTTACTGTGGGGGCCCCACCGGAGACTGCTGTATTCAGGACACTGGACAATTATGAGCTGACTCCACTAATGAGGCCTTTCTATGTTTATCTGTTCTTGGCAATTGATCTCCTTGCAAGGTACGGTTTCAACACATTTTTTCATATACAGTATAAGACTGTAGAAAGCTCATAAATATACATATCACTACATTAATAATAGGATATCTGATTCAGATGAGCAGGAAATCAAACGTTTTTGAAGCACATGTACAGGTAGTGGGCATTCTTTCAGTATATCTTATGATATACAGTGTTCTTGGTTGGTGAAATAGCATTAAGCAAAATAATAGATACAGTTTATTTCATTGATGTATGGAATAATTGTAAAACATTCTGGAAACATTGATACTGCAAGATGTTTTTCAAACATAACAAAACAAAAATTTATTTTCAGATATTATCCTGAATTTCTGGTGACCAATCAGGTGTTACATATTGTATTTGTGTTCCTTCCTCTGCTTTGGATGCTGGGAATATTACCTCCTCTGGATGCATGTTTCTTCTGGATCTTTGAACAGTCTCTTGTTCTTCTGTTTGGGGGTACCCCAATGGCTAGTGATATTAGGTAAAATATGTTGCTAGTAAATACAGAATAAATCATATCTCAATATGTGTATCAAATCCCAAAGATAGTATGACAGTGTATGATATCTTAATGTGTGTATCATATCCCGGTGACAGTGTATCATATCTCAATGGTAATGTATCATATCTCAATATGTATCAAATCCCAATGAAAGTGTATCATATCTCAATGACAATGTATGATATCTTAATGTGTGTATCATATCCCAATGACAGTGTATCATATCTCAATGGCAATGTATCATATCTCAATATGTATCATGTCTCAATAACAATGTATCATATCTCGGTGACAATAAAGTTGTAGTCAACTTTTTTGGGGACTGCATCTGTAGCAAATGGCATCTCTAACAAATGGCAGGTAGTGATGTTTTGCATTAGAAATTATAATCCATTATAGTAAATGACTCAGCTTTAGATTCTAGGTGACATTACAAAGTATTTTGATTGCAGGTTGATGACAATGTTGGTGCTCTCTGTTGGTGTTTATCTTGCCGTGTACTTTGTCCCTCTGGGTACTGCTACTATAGCAATAATGTCATCTATGGGGTACATCCTCAGTACTGATCTCGGAGGTCTAGGATCTCAACTTTTAAACATTTGCTCAAAACAGAAAAACACACAAGATGAAACTTTATCAATATCCACTTCGTTTCTTTGGAGATGGACATGGAAGGAGGTACTCTTTCATGTTGCTATGACAACAGTTGCTACAGGTGTCGCTATAGTGATCCATGTATATATAAACAACATAACAAGTGATATTGTACAGGTTATTGGATACACCATTGTTGGTGTGCTTGTGATACAGAAATTATTGTGCAGTTTACAAAGTGTATATGTGGGGTGTGGACTTGTAAGAAACAAGCTGTACCCAGCAAGTGTAGAAAGAAAGACTATCTTCAAGAAAGCAAAGAAAAGACTTAAGGCACTAGGATATACCAACAGAGTTATCTTAGATATAGGTAAATGATTTTTCAAAACAATCATATTCAAGCACACTATGCTTTACATAGAACTACAATTCGAGATGTAAACAGTGAAACACTTAAAAGTGAGTTGCTTTATGTTCAAAAGTAGACAATTTAAATTTAATTCGGTTTTTACATATTGATTTATTGACTACTTCCTGACTACTTTTCTGATAATTGATAATTTGAATATAAATTTTTTGAGATGAAACACATTTTTGTAAATTCTTCATTACAAATTCATTACAGTGAGCCCTGCATTGCTGGTTGCCTATGTTACTATGATAGGAGGTATACCAGAGCTTGGAGGTGTAGTTGTCACTCCCCTCACACCCCTAGCTGTTATGGGACTAATGAGGACATATAGAGCAGTGAGTAAATCCAAAATATAAAATGTACTCAATATTAGACTTTTTAAGTTAATTTCAAAATTAGCATATATGACAATTTGACAAAGTATAGATATTTACATGTTCCATAATCGTGAATGTGACTGTTTTGATATCTTTGGATTGAACTGAATATTGAAATATCTGAAGAGTTATTTTATCATACTGCATATCAAGTGAAATTGTTATTATTTTATGTTGTGTTGCAGGCTTGGCAGTGTACTCCACAGTGCCTCTTAGATCTCACCATATACACTATTGCCTCATTGGCTTTTCCTAGTGATGTCACATGGGTTGCTATGGAAACGGGTATCAAGTTATTAATCGTTGCAATAGCCAGAGACAGAATTCTGCAATTCTTGGACAAGATTTATTTTTATTTTGTTCTTTTCATCACATCATGGAGCGACAAAAAACAACGAAGAAAATCAACAGTTCCAATGATGGTGATATCCATCTTGCTGTTCCCTTTCATACTTATTGTCATAGCAACAGCAACTGTCATGGCGGCACCTCTACTTCCTCTATTTACACTCCCTGTGTTTCTGATTGGCTACCCTCGACCAATCAGATCATGGCCTGGGGTAGTTGGATCTTCTGCCAATGTCAATCCTGATACTGTATATTACAAGCAATTTGCCCCATCTATTACAAAAGCTCTAAGGGAGGCATTTGCAAATGGCAGCTTAGGTATGTTGTCTGAAGAGTTTGAAAAATTTGATCTATTTAATTTTATATCAATTCAATACATATCTTTCTATGTCTTAGATAATTCTATATCATTTGTCTTTAACTGGCATGTCTTCTAATTCTATAGATGTCCTAGTTATGAGTATAAAATACAATGTATACAAAAATAAGATACAATAATAATTTTGGCTGATCAAATATGTGTCTCCTTGCAGGTGACCCAACTGTTGGGAAGCACTTCTTAATGAGGTTCCAGGACAGGATGGCCTGGGTGATGATTCTAGAGAGAGGCTACTCCTATTGTACCATCAATATAAAGGGACTTGAGTTACAGGAGACTTCATGTCATACTGTAGAAGCAGGGAGACTGGATGATATGTTTGACACAACATTTGATCAGGAGGGGGGAATTTTTAATAAGTACCCAGCAAACGTTTTAACCCCTACTGATGCAGCATATGTGAATACATACTCCGATGCTAAGAATGTACTCACAGGGATTATAGACTCACCAGATTTACTCGCTATGATGAAATCCAGCTTTTTAAAATGTTTCATATGGGAACTACTTCATCATAATGTTAAAGCGAAATCCCAAGGAAAGTTATCAACTCCTCGACCTGCCACTAAGGCTCAATCAAGAACTAACATTCCTGGCATTGGCGAACATGAAACATTCTCACCAAGAACTGATAAATCGAGGACTGATGGCACTAGGACTCAAAGCTGGCAAAGTATCCAAGTGAGACCTGCACCAGTGAGTGTTAATAACTCAAGTGTTAATGATAACACAAATGCCAGGAAGAACAATAATGCAGCCAATGAATTGCCACCTTTGGAAGATGACTGGCCTGAATCTCGTCCAAGTACTGCAGGATCTCACAGAAACCGACCAATGTCAGCTAAAAGTTTCGCTAGCAGTGTATGGTCAGATGACAATGATTCCCTTATGATGGCTCCTATTGGGAACAAAAATAAAGTGAATCTCACCGAAGCTATGAACAAAAAACAACATACCAGCTCCCCTTTAAAGGCATCTGCTCAAGATTCTGGTCGAGGACAAAGTTCTGAGCTGCCAGGAAGTATCATGGATGTAAAAGACGATTATGACCCATTTGATGACATGGCTTTTGGCCTCCCAGTTATTGATATTAACGCATCACATAAACCTTCTCCCAATCCATTATTTAACAAAACTCCGGCCAGTCAGAACCAATACAAACCAATCACCAATCTCGCTGGCTCCATGCAATTCTCAAGTCCTTATTCATCAAAGCTTAGCCTACCACTTAAATGGCGAGAACTTCCAATGGACCAAGACACGATCAACAAGCACCTTGAGTTATTTCCAAAGGAGTGGTACCATCATGTGTTAAAGTGCCTTGACCTGGAAGTGAATGGTAAGAGCTCAGAGGAGGTGGCAGCTGAGCTACAAGATGATGAGATCCTTACTGGGATATACGCACAACTCACCATGGCCTGCTATGCTGTCATCAATGTGTTAGGTAAGTATATGATGTATTGGCATTATATTTAGGTTATTTTCAGATAAAGCTACGCTTAAGACAAAATAAAGAAAGGGTTGAGGATTTGACATCTGCAAATAGGTGTTTTGCACTCAAACAAGTCGTGACGATTCATTATATTCGTCATATTTTATAAATTAAATTGTTAAGCCAATTCACGTGTATATTTGATTTGATGGCTTTACGAAATGCTCAATGATATATATCACAGAGCAGGAAACCTTATTATGACTATCTCTACAAACATTCCCCAAAGATCATATTTCGCAAAACAATTAATTGCTCCATATGTACTTATTATATTGAAATAAAGATCATAATAAGGAGTCAATTTCACTCATTATCACATAGAACACGATAATTGATGATGTAATTACACGCATGATGCATAGCAGGTGGTCAATTATATCACAATTTGATCATGCAAAATCACATTATAGAAAACTGCCAGATCAATTACTAGTAAGTCCTTGCATTAACTACAAATATGACCAAAACTACAGCACATGGGTCACTTAGCTACAATATCTTGATATAAAAGATATTTAAACCAAGTTCTGCATTCATACATGTATTCATGTACTTATATGTATTTATCTAAAATGGCTTGTTCATACTTGATAGTTTGTAGTTTGGATTATCATTTCACAAACCAGATAATAATTTCAGCAAATATCTGTACAATATATTTGAAAATGATATTGAAACATGCTCTTTCTTTCCTACTTACTATCAGATCTAAAATATTTAAGTTTGATGCTTCAAACCAAGATGTTATTAAAAAGCCATTAAGCCCATGATAAAGTAAATTGCATACTTACAGGTGTGGCAGGCAGTGATGTAGTAGACATGGGGCCCTACCATGTATACAAGCTTTACACTGGGGAGATACCCTGGTCACAGGCCTCTGAATGGATTTCAGAAGATGATGATCTCAAAACACTAGTTGTCAAAGCATATAGGTAGGTAGAGTAGAATTGGTTCATTTTTTCCACTTAAAAGAAGTTGTTGCGGTTTCTCTTCTGTTTGATTTAGGTCTCGTTGTAAAGGATAATTGTTGTTAGACTATGTCATGGAGAATTATAATAGAGAATGGTTCCCTTACATTGTAAATCTCTCCTTGCAGACATGCTGTTAAGTTAAGCATAGATCAGGTGTTACTGGGGGAGGCATCCGATCATGCAGAGCTACAGGAATACATGGATGAGTATGAAAGGGACTGGTATATAGGTTCTGAGACCGACCCTCGATGGGGAGAAGCTGTACTAAAGAACAAACCTCAACTCTTCTCACTTGGACATAATCCTGTACAGGTAGGGCATTTTAGTGAGGCTAGGAAGAAAATATTTTTGCATTTGGTCTGCGTTTTTTGCCAGATATTAAAAAAAGTTGATGGGTTGTATTGTATGGAGATATATTCAGTTGCATATAAAAAACAAAATTTTTTTGGTCATGGATGCCTAAATGGAATTAGTTTAGTACAGATTACTACGAATGCTTGTACTGTACGTTATGCAAACTAACCAACTATGGTATAGCATTCATGTATTCATCTACTGGCTGACTGTTTAACTTACTAATTTATTTGCTATTTCCAGGGTACATATACAAGTAGGACCCTCTCCTCTCGAGATGTTGAGGTATATATAGGTAGACTGAACCCTGAAGTTGTAAGAGGAATGTGGGCCAATGTGAACCTGGAGCTGTTGTACATGACTAACGATGATGAGGAGAGATATAGTATACAGGCACATTCTACAGTACTTAGGAACTTGAATGTACAGTCAGCTGACCCACCACTAGGGTATCCTATATACTCATCTCCCCCAATATCTGTACCAACATTTTAAATATGAAGGATTTTAGCAGAGATACAGCATACAGGCACATTCTACAGTACTTAGGAACTTGAATGTACAATCAGCTGACCCACCACTAGGGTATCCTATATACTCATCTCCCCCAATATCTGTACCAACATTTTAAATATGAAGGATTTTAGCAGAGATACAGCATACAGGCACATTCTACAGTACTTAGGAACTTGAATGTACAATCAGCTGACCCACCACTAGGGTATCCTATATATTCATCTCCCCCAATATCTGTACCAACATTTTAAATATGAAGGATTTTAGGAGAGATATGGCAGGGTCAGGCACAATATGATGTACTGAGGAACTTGAATGTACAGTCAGCGGACCCATGATTAGGGTATCCTATATATTCATCACCCCCAATATCTGCACCAACATTTTAAATATCGAAGGATTTTAGGAGAGATATAGCAGGGTCAGGCACAATATGATGCACTGAGGAACTTGAATGTACAGTCAGCGGACCCATGATTAGGGTATCCTATATATTCATCACCCCCAATATCTGCACCAACATTTTAAATATCGAAGGATTTTAGGAGAGATATGCAGGGTCAGGCACAATATGATGTAATGTGAGGAATTTGAATGAACACTCAGCGGATCCACTCATGGAGGAACTGCCTGTGTTTGAGTTCACTAAGATCTTTTGAAAATCTTACTTAAGTCGAACTTAGGCATTTCCTCCATTTTATTCAAAGTAACTACACATTGTTGAGGGACAGTCAGACAGTGAACATTGTAAATATGGTTGATCCTACTGTTAAGTCTTTGCCTCAAGAGACACATTGAAATGCAGAGTCTCGTGTTTCAGAATACAGTACTTAAAATGATTTGTCCAATTATTTTATATTCGTTGATCTTTGACAACATTGCCAAATTATATATGGAGTCATAAAATATATAATAATTACTATGTTATTCTCGGTTTCAATCATTAAATCAAAAACTTTGATCTGATTTGTACAATTGAGAATGACACTGAGATTGATGGTACATATTGATATTATGATTGAATGCCAATGATTGTATGCCAATGATTGAGTGCCAATGATTGAATGCCAATGATTGTATGCCAATGATTTTTTAATAGAATGTACTCACAGTAGGCAATTATTATTCAACTCAGTGTGTTCCTTATGTGTTTGTGCAAGTGCTAGTTTTCTGAATTAATTCTGCATTTTAAATCAAGACACACATTCACAGGTGTACCTGAAAGGAACCTAAGGTCTCTCTATACCTGGTTCCGGTGTAAATGAAAGGGACCTAAGGTCTCTATACCTTGTTCCTTTGCACTGTGAAATCATGGTATAATTAAGAACAGTACACATTGTGGCGGTCCAGTGAGAATACATCATTGCTTGTATTTAACATTGCTACTAAGCTGAATCCTGGTGATTCAGTTGTATATCTGTATTAAAGAGAGAGAAATATAGATAGTTGTGATATTTTATTTATATTTATTATAGAACTATTGTACTTAGTACAACATAGCCTATTATAGCAAGAATAAAATCAGAATCTAAATGCTTTCGAAGATTATGTTTTTGTTCTGCATGAAGTTTGATTTGAAGTTTAGTCAGAAATCTTCTAAGAGATACATGTATTTTGCTTTGGTAGTTGATTTGTGAATTCTAAGATAAATTGACTGACCAATGAACAATACATTTGTTCAAGGAATAGCACAATTGAATCAATGGGGTTTGACCATTGTGACCATTTCAATAATATGAACATTTTGCACTTCCAAATATAATATGGAAAAAGTAATATACGAGTTCTTGAGGAGGCATTCAAGAATGATCATATAGAATATTCCAACTGCCCATAATACATTTGCTTATTTTTATGGATAAGCAGTAATAGCTAACCTGACAAATATCAATACTTTTATTACATTCTTGTCAGTATGCTGGGTGGGTGGGAGGATTGGTGTGGGGCATTTCAATTAATTTTGTTTTAATATACAGGAAGTTAAATATTTTTTATTTTCAATTTAGGTATTTTGCTATTGGTTAAGAGAATACAAAAAACAAATATTTACAAATGATTGTTTATTCATTGTTTCATCAATATATAATCTTTCAAATTTACAATAATAATTTATAAATATTCAGCATTTTACAAACCTTTACAATTCAACACTACACTGAAAACAATACTACTTTGTGCGTAGTAAACCCATGCAGAGTTGGTGATTTATATCTTGACAAAAATGAAATTGTAAAATCCCTGCAATTCAGAACACTGTAAGGAACATTTTGTTTCCACAGTTCAGGCCTACACTTTGAAGTTTCAGAACTGGGCCTATATCCATTTTGACAGAATCCCTCGAAGAGATATCAATATTGATTGTACATTATCCAAGTCTGTAAGCTATTTTTTAAGTCATTATACACTCATAGGGAAGTCTATCTTCATTGATGAGCTGTAATAATGAACAATGTCCTACATGAGAAATCATTCTCATTTACACCATTTAAATAGGAGATAATTATCTGAGCCAGAAAAATCATGAAACTTCATTTTCTGTCTTTAAGCAGGTAGCATTCATTTTACATTCAAACTCCTTTAAAAGGGCATAAAAACTACATTTACATTGGAGATCATTGAGATCTCATACATCTGAGTATCGAAATCAGTTGAAATAATTAGAGGGAGGTCACCGTGACTTGCTAATGCTGCTGTTAATTTCAAAAGTCTCCTTCAGAAAGAGGCTTAAGCAATAAACCGATGAAGTAATTTGTGCACCTTGACTTTAATCTAAGTATCATCAATTATACTATAGATTGTTTTACAATAAAGAATAAAGATGAATCATTAAGAAGTATTATCACAACCAGTCTGATTCAACTGTATTGATATGGTAAGCCATGAGGCCAACTGGCAGCCACTATGCTAAGATCTACAGGGTGGGCCAAAAAAAACGCCACTTTTTTTCAAAATGCTATAACTTTTTTAGTTTTTCATATAAAATCATAATTTGCATGCCAAATTAAACTTGAGGTTGTTATCTAGCCATGGATCATGAATTATACACTTTTACTTGAATAAAATATGTCACCAGCGTCTCACTGAAACATGTGATGTGCCATGAGAAATAAGCATAATTTGGAAAATGGTACTGAACTGATACGGCCTGATGATCACCAAGCTAATAGCCCTGATGCAAACCCCAGTGAGTATAGGGTATGGGAAGGTCTCCAGGAGATTGTATGAAGGCACCCAATCTAGAAAATTGCTCAACTAAAGCTGGCAATTAAGACAGGTTGAAAAAAACTTAGCTAACATTTCATTGATACTGCAATATCAGCAAGGCGACTAAAACTAAAATATATCATCAATTAGGGTGGCGGACCAACTGAACTCTCCTTTTAGATCAAATATAATCCAAGTTGAAGGACTTGTAACATTATATTATTACTAAGAACCCTTGCCACTATATAACTTCAAAATTTGGGGTATGTAGGTTGGAAAATAAAAAAGTTGTAGTGTCTTTAAAAAAAGTGGCGTTTTTTTGGCCCACCCTGTATATCATTTTAATCTACTTATGAAATCATATGTTTAAGATATCTAATCCCCTTTCCCTTTATTTACATTAGAAACTGAAAGGCATACAGAGTGTCCCATAATTAAACTTCTGCTTCAAGTGACAGAATCTTCATTCTGGGACACCCTGTAGAAGTTGACAAATTACTAAACAAGCATAATTTTGAGACTCAGTTAAGCCATGTTCGATTAGATGGCAATTTAGAGATGACACTACTTCTATGCAGTAACACACAGGTATTGCACATTTAACGTTTCATATTACTACAGTAGCAGTAAGGTATGTACTCCAGTGATCTCCCCAGCATTAAAGCAAGTGGGCGCAGCACCCACCTGAGATTTTGGAAATAGGCTTGCACCCACCTGAAAATCCAGCTGCACCCATTTGAAAATGAGAAAATAATGAAAAATTGGCATATTTTGACCAATTTTTGTCTGAATTGTGAAAATGAGAATTTTGCACCCACCTGAGAAAAAATCCTGAGGAGATCACTGTACTCATATACATACATAATGACAGGGCTTGTATCTAAACTCATATGGCCCCACATTATACTCACACATACCATTATATATATTGCATTATGCACATTATAATAAAATACTTGTTTCTCTTATATTTTGAAGTCATACCTCAAAATGAACACATAAAGATATCCAGTGGTGAAATGCCACAATTAATGGCTATTAAAATTCAAAACAGAACAATGATGAGAATGGAACTTGAAAGAAAATAACAATAAGTGCTGTATGTAGTTTCGTATCAATTCTACAGAAAAGTGCTAATTAGTTAGTTCACAAGAAACAATTTGCATGAAACTCATTAAGTAAATGCAATTAATGCATGCACCAAAAAGACGTGACAATTCAAGCACTGGATGCATTATATCAATAGGTTCTACTGTATGTGTTCATAATGACAAGTTTAACTGCAATGTTTCATTGGTTCACTTTATAATATCTCATATATACACAGCTATTTACAGCATTCAAAGGCCCCATGGACACTTGGGGGCATTCTCTAGGCATTAAAATAAAATGAGACCAAAATATAAATGTTAATATCCATTCCCCCAGTCTGGGGCACAGCAGCAAGAAAAATGCTCAATCAGGATAATTTGCTCCCCTATATGAATGGAACAACTTCCTAAATGTGAGGCATTTCTTGAGACTGTTCATGATTAGTAATTAAAATTCTTGTTCATAAGCAAATTAAAAATACAGCAGTTATTTGATACAAAACATATGGCCTATCAATCAATGGTTTTCAATCAGGCTATACATAATCAAACTAAAAACTGAATCATATTGAACAAAAACAGAGGTACATGTAGCATCAGAGGGATTATGGTGACCATTGTAACATTTAATTGTAATGTCACAATAATACCAACTGTCAACAATGACGGTAATGGTCTATAACCTTTGAATTCTACCCTTGGAACAGAACAAATATAAAATTGAACAAATAATTGTGTATAACATTTCCATGAATAAATACGGGTTTCTCAACATGGTAAAATGGCAATAATCATATCTTCAGCCTCAAATGTACAGTATTTACTTATTTATAATAAGCCAGGCCCGTAGCCAGGGGAGTTCGATGGGTTCGAGCGAACCCCCCCCTGGCCAAAAAATCTTTCAAAATCATGCAGTTTTTCACCATTCTGAGCACTTTTTAAGTTATTTTGGCCATTTTTGGACCAAAATTGTCAAAAGTGAACCCCCCCTTGAATTTTTCAAAAAGTGAACCCCCCTTGGCAAATCCTGGCTACGGGCCTGATAAGCTATGGTTTGTATTTGATACAACAATGAAGCACCATAACTATGAGCATATCTACAGACTGATGATTCACTGCATCTAATCGTCTAAATTATTTATTAATAAATACAGAGCTTATGAACAATGGAGTAAAATGTGCCATGAGTTTCAGTGCCTTCTTTGAGGTATATTGTAAATATTCATTTGAGGACATATCGTGGCTCTTAAGAAGCCAAATTAGTTGCTTTTTTGAATGTACAGCCCCAATCCACACTCTGGAATCACAGTACCATACTGCTAAATCAAGAGTATGGTACCATACAGTGCTGTTTGAGTATGATGCAGTGTAGTGTTCACGGTACCGTACAATACTGTTTTAGTCTATGGTATCATATGGTACTATATCTACGGTACCTTACAGTACTGTATTTACGGAACCCAACAGTACTGTAGCCTAAAATGGTACCGTACAGTACTGCTGGAGGTGTGTATATGTAAGCTGCTTTTATTTGTAATACATGTACTAATAACACTGACTGTGAATTCTGAAAGCACACTTCACTCCATTGTTAATGCATATCTAAATACATCATACATTGGTCTACATACATATTGTTTCACAATATGATATATACAAGATAGAAAAAGATAAAATCACAAACATTTGTCTTAAATTCTCTTAACCCTGCTTGGGTTCTCCATTAATGCTTCACTATGTTTCTGGGACTATCATGATATTTAAAATAAATGATGGCTACTAGAAAGGGCCCTCAATTATAAAGATGATGATATGTTTAACTGTTGTACAATTATATGAGAGCATGAGTCTGTACCATTGACTTACACGTACAATGAATTGACCTACATTGCCAACACATTGACAAGGGATTGACCTACATAGACAATTCACTGACATTTGTAGAAATACAATGATTGACCTTCTAAGAAATGAATTGACCTATATAGACAAAAGATTGACTGACATGGTCAATATATTGACCTACATTGCAGATGAATTGACCTACATAGACAATAAATTGACCTATATTAAGACAATAAATTGACTGACATGGTCAATATATTGACCTACATTGTAGATGAATTGACCTACATAGAAATAAACCTACGTAAATAACGCATAGGCCTAAATATAGAAAAAACATTGACCTTTATGGTCAATTCATTCACCTACAATGCCAACTCATTTCCTTCCTATACATGTACAATACAAATCTTCATATTTGACCAATATAGACAATTAAACGCCTTGACCTATGACCTACATAGACAAGGCAAATCTCCAAACTTGACTAGGTGATGATGGGTCACATTCCTCTACTGTGATACCTTTAGTCCTTTGATGTTTACTGTCTAAGCACAGTCCATAGTCCATGGATTTAAATATATGGTCTCTTTTTATATGCTTCCATTTCTGAAAAATATATGTTTCAGTTTTAAAAACAGTGATTATAACACATCTAAAGTGTGAATCTTAGACTACTGAAGCAAAGAGTTAGCAAACCAGAATACATGTACACTTCTCTTTCATTCTCTCAGATCCGGTGCAATCTATCATTAATCAGCTCCAGTATCTTAAATTAACTTTCATAATTAAAGACAATGCCGCTTAAATACAACATCAAGGGATTTAATGGAACATGAAATCTATAAACTTCTTACTTGGTTTCTATTAATTGAGTCACATTGATGAAGTTTTACTGGAGATCCCACCACGTGGTTAGAGAGAGCAATGCACAAGTCTGAATGCTTTATCTGGTTATTCTTTGATAATGCCCATTCCTGAAAAAGAAAATATTTTCAAGTAATAATCAATGGAAACTGATGAAAAGTTGAAACAGCCAAGTCACGAGAAATCAGTTTAGTTTTTTCTTTCCCCGAATAACCACTCTACTATACCTTGCATTTGGTGTTCACGAGCAACCCATTTGGCTAATAAGTAATGATTATGTATTTGTTTTTATTTGTCTTTTCCTTATTAATGGTTTATCGGTTGAAAGTTAGATATTAATAAGGTACTTTCAAAAATATACTAAACAATGCAATTCTCCCTTTCGCGGTTCGCTCTTTGAATCAGAACGTTCGCAAATATGTACTGAAAAAGCACTCAAAAAGGACAACATTTGATTGGTCAATGAGAATTAGACAGACAAAGTATCTTATGCATTTCTAGGTGTTAGGTATAGTAGTGTGATAACAGGTTGGATGGAATCTAGCGCATATGGATGGACCTGGCCTAATCTTTTTGATGTCAAAGAAAATTCACGTATAAAGTTATCCCCACTAGAATGTCCCTTGTGAGGAATAAAAATCATGTTTTGAAATACATAAAGGATAAGTGAAACCACTTTGTATAATCAAGTACATGTACATACATGTATAAAGTCAACATTTTCAATTGCATGTAAAAATGTAATATAACCCAATCATACATTCTAATCCTACTTTTTCATAATCTTAAGAGAAATAGGCAAGACATTGTGTTCATTTCATAATATTATATCTACATATATAAGGGTTGTTATGTACTGGGAGGTTTTGGATACAGGGTTTATCCCAAGGGAAACATATTTCCCTTGGGATAAACCCTGTATTCAAAACTGACCGTACATAACAGATGTATTTCATACCTACTGAAGTTCTAGGTACATCATACCTTATAAAGATCCAAAATTCCAAAACATACTTTAAGTACTGGGCGTTTTTTGGTCTTAAAGTTTGAAAGATTTTCAAAAAAATTGAAAAAAAGAAATTTTGAAAAAATTGAAAGAAAAAGTGAAAAATATTTTTTTAAATTTTTTTTTCAGGAGCGGGTATACCGCGTGTATCCATCCCGGTCCCTAGATACACTATATATTCCCGCTCGTTATGTACCTAGAACCTCAGTAGGTATGAAATACAGTACATTACACCTCACTACATGGACAGAAAGCAGTGCAACAACCTACCTGATTTCCCCCTGTGTTATGACATGTATATAATCCCACAACCCCGTCTAGAAAATGCCCTAAAGTGTCCATACATTGACTAGCCTGTTGAATGCTCCCAAATGCTATATCTTGCTTATCTGGTACCCTGGAAACACAAACAAGAAAACATCAATCATCACACAAAAACAGGCTCCAAAATCCAGAATAAAATCTTCCGGGGGAAGAAACTTAAATGGATGATGCTGAGCTATTCCATAAAAAGATGAAATCAATAGATCAGCAGAGATAGCTTATGATGGTAACTCAAGGATGCATCTTCACTCACAGAGCCGTATTCCACTATAGCATGGAATGAAGAGGCAGCCAAAAAAGATGTGAAATGAATGTGAGATTCTGTTATGGTGTACAAGAATGTTTTGTGGTATATTACCTTATGACTATACAATAACATGCAAAGTTAGATTCATTATTAATATATTATATAATATATAATTAAAGCATTAAAATCAGAAACATTAAGCTATGTTTTAAAAGACAATTCATAGTTTTACAAGAGTAGGAGTGTGCTCAAAGCAAAAAGTTTATTTTTGTGCTAATGAGTGTAATTAAGTGTAATTAATGAGCTTGAGCAAATGAAATAATCAAATAATCATATAATCAACCCAATTATCCAAAACAAAATGTTCTAACAACCACTCCTATGCAATTAGAGGCTTCCCATTTTCCAAAACAACATGTGTGATTCTAACTTAACAATCCCTCATGCCCATATATGGAAAGGTCTCGCACCTAGAATGTGTGTAACCACTCAACCTCTCTCCAAACAGAGGGATACTATTTTAATAGAGACGGGGGGGGGGGGGGGGTAATAACTTGATGATAGACTTGTGAGAAATCAATTTTTGAAAGATAATATAATATGTTAAGCAGCAGTGTCCTTAACAAAGTCCTTAAAAGTAGTGCAAGCATTCTATCTAATAAACACAACTAAGGAGGGACAGGTGGTGAAACCTACACATGCTGTCGTGAAATTTTAAGACAATTTTTTTATGATATGCATCATTTAACTTCCTCTAAAAATGCAAATTGTATGAATGATGAGTTTCTTTGGACTTTTGGGCCAAAGTGTGTCACCAAAAATGTTTTTGAAGTAGAATTTGTTAGTAGCTTAACTATGTTTTATACTACTACGCAGCTAAAGAAGCGAAGAATATAAGTGTTTTCAGTCAATCATTTTGATACAGAATCACCAACATAAACTTGAAATAATTGTTTTACCAACTCGGCACATAATTTGTAAACCAATGAAATCAGATATGATGAATCAGGATATGGGAATCATAAGTCCAAAATTAACCCTCAAATTAACAAAATTATTTGCAGTGATTAGATGTCCCCTAGTAATCATACAGGTAGAAAACAGAGGGTCAAATGTACATTGCAGTTAAAAAGGCTTGTTGAAGTTGGGAATAAATATGATGAAGGTTTGTAAGATTGGTTACCTATTTATTGCACAAATAAGTTATTCCAGTCTTCTAAATGACCAAATGATTTAAAATGGGTGAAACATGCTGTTCAAATTGTAGAATCTTTCAGAGGAGAAGGATGTAATAAATACATACTGATAAACATGTTGAATCTTGCATACATGCTCTCTATTGTAAATTTTTATATGGGGACATGAAATGCCGGAAGGCGATTTGCCCAAACCCTGTCTTTTTATAGTATATTTGTTTGTATTTATGAAATAAACCTATTGATTAAAAATTAAACATGATTACACATGTCTCGATGTCATCCCTTCCCACTCAACAATGTACAGACCCTAACCCCCTAGAAATACTGTTAACCCCACACTGACTATATATTAAACAATTTTACATTTTTATATTCATCTACAATTTTACATGCATTACTTGTACTTTTGAAATGCTGAGAATATTGGCTGTTAAGATTGCCTAAAAGGAATATCCTTCCAAAGGTAATTTGGCTATTCAATCAACAAAAAAGGTCAGTGTGAGATAACTAAGATGCTACCAACAGAGGCTGTCATATGTCATTCATTCAAGTATGACATGAAGTTTGTATCCTTGGAAAGCAAGGATCCTGTCATGAGCTTTATTGCAAGAACAAAGCAGATGATGTCTCGATCCTCTGTATCCTGAGGATGCAATTTAGAGGATCAAATTTACTTCACTAACAAGCCCGTAGCCAAGGGGGGAGGGGGGGGGGTTCAGGCAAACACCCCCCCTGGCCAAAATTTCTTTCAAAATCATGCAGTTTTTCACCATTCTGACTATTTTTTGAGTGATATTTGGCCAAATTTGCCAAAGTGAACCCCCCTAGAATTTTTGGGAAAAGTGAACCCCCTTGGAAAATTCTGGCTACGGGCCTGACTAATCATGTCATTACATGGTGTTTGACATATGTTATCACCCTCTGGCTATTCATTATCTAAGGGTCTGTTTGATTACATAGGGATTTGTCTAGCTAACATCCTCCAAATGCAGGGATCTGGACATCATCTACTATGAAGGAACTTAGTGGATGATGTCTGAAACTCTGCTTACGGAGGATGTCTAGTTACAGAATGCTTTGTGATGTGTTTATACCTGCCCTCTATATTCTATATACACTATACACTATATACAAATGTTATCGTTGTGGATCTTCGCCTTCAGCCATATGCTCCTCGAAGTACGCTATTTGTTTTTGAAACTGTTTAGAATAAGATCCAGTTTTACCCATCCTATAGAATAGATGTTAAGTCACTAAGGGGTCTCTATATTACAAATTAAAACATGTAAAGAAAGTAACTAAGGGGTCCCTATGATATGAGAACAAGTCAACAAAGGCAGTTGTTAAAAGGATTTGAATTCAATAAACAATATCAAAATTTAATGTAAATTATGTAAATCAAGAGAAAAACCAATTATAAATCTAACTAAATTCAAAAGTGCATTTCAAAATTCTATTTTAGAACAATCTAGAAATCTATCTAAAGAAGAGAAAAGAAAGAAAACTTTATCTAACTATAATATATAATATTTTAAATCAAACAATAAAAATTTCCCTTTGAAAGAAATGTTATGTATTTTTCTCAAACTGAGACAGAATATTATCAATAGGCCTACCATGCAAGACGATAGATGCAGAGTAGACTGTGACTGTCAGAATATATAAGTCAATCAACTCAGTATGTATAAAGAATATACATGTAATCACCATTTGGAAAAAGGTGTAAAATGGAAAGCTGTGATTTGACTGACTGATATTCATTGAAAGGATGAGCAGAGAAGAGTTACTACACTGTACTCAACTGTGTAAGATATCAAAGGAAAGGTTGATCAAAGACTGAGATCAAAGGCTGATCACAGACTGAGATCAGAGATCAAGATGAAAGATCACTATTAAGTTAGATTTCAGATCTTACCAAATTTTTAGGTTGGGATTCTCTAGGAAAACAAAATTACAAACGATAATTATACAAACTTACGTCAATAACTTAAAACTGAATTTCACAAAACAAATTTCAAGACTTTGAGACTAGATCTAGAAAATTCTAGAATAGATCAAACATTTACATAAGATTACTGTTGATTGGAATTAGGGTATCTTTCAGTACATGTGTCTATTATTCTTTGTTATATAAATAAACCACCTTTCATTTAGAGAAATGAAAGAGATCTACAACTTAGAGACAGAATGAGCAGCTGAACATAAATTTGTAATAAATAGAATGTGATTCTGAAACATGATTCCTGGGACAAAATCATTCCAAAGTGAATCATTAAATCCAATCATTCACAATTAAGACACCAAAAAGAAGAAATAGTTTCTATCTAAACGTAGCTTCAAAAACAATCAAACAAGAGTTGAAAACAACAATTTAGATAATCAGTGGAATTACACCTACGATGTAAAAGCGCTTTTTAAAATCCTATCAGGTTTCGACCCGCCTTTAGAGTCAGGTGTAATCACGATCGCGGATTTAGAAAAGCGCTTATGTAATCCTCCCAGACCCCTAGTCATTAAAAACCGCTTTCACACCCAAAGGCGCTTTAACGTGTAGGTGTAATACCGATTGGTTTTCAAGGCGCTTTAACTCGATTTTACACTGAACGAAAACTATATTTGCGCATGAGCATCAAGCATGTTATTGATTTCCGGTGTGGAGGAAACTTCAAAAAACAAAATTCAAATATTGTGCAAAACTCAATCAAATCACCAAAATGTCGAAACAAAGTAGAATTTATTGGGACCACGTCAATACTGAGCGTATGCTTTCGATTTGGGCTTACAAAAAGATCCAGGCCATGATGAACGGCACGTTAAAAAATGCGATTGCGTATGACCTGATCTCGCAATTTGTAAATAGAATAACCGTAAATTAAATAAATAATATAATACTATTGACGACGGATATTGATGATTCAGCATCCCGAACAGAAGAAAGTAGCTAATATTTTGAGCACCATAGTATTATGATAATAGCTCTTCTCGATCACTTTGACGCTCACTGGGCCAAAAATCTAAAGTCTTATATTTATACGCCCATGGGCGTATAAAAAATGATAAAATAACGGACGAAATTACCCCTTCTTTCAGTTATACGCCCAGGGCTTATATACGAGAAATTCCGGTACTATTGTAGATTGGGGAAGGCGAGGGGAGGGGATGATTGAATAGTTGAAATTACCTCTCTACAATGAAGTCAAAAAAATGACGAGATCTTTGTCTTGTCCACATCGTTCGTTCCTGTCCCATATTACCAAGGATGCCAAACAGCCCCAACAAAAGTACCATCTTCATTTTACTGGATCTCTCTTGGATCTCTCCTAACGACCGAGCTTCTCTCTTTGCGCGCTTGTGCATTGTTTTCCATGCTTTCTTTAGCACATATTTGTTAACGCCAGAGGTAGATTGAATACGATTTAAGAAAAAAGGAACATACAGTATCGGATCATTTTGAATCTCCAGAGATGGCGCTACGGTTGAAAGTGTATATCTAAATAGCAGATTTTGATGCAAATGCGATGGTTGATGTCAAATTTTTGTCTTAAATCAGTCTAAAAGCGCTTTAGAAAAATCAAGTGTAATCACGAAAAGTTGTCTTCAAGGCGCTTTTAAAATTCTTGTGTAATCAGGATTGCGGTTTTCTAGCCTACGTTACCCAAAACGCCTTGAAAATGCCTTTAGCCATGAAATAGGTGTAATTCCATTAAATGTGTTTGATCATAACTAATGACAATACTAGTACACAGAGTGTGTTAGGGTTATGCAGTTAATCTACTACACAGTAGAGGATATAAAGCGAACTAGAAGAAATCTTTGAATAAAAGGCATTTATACAAAAAATGAGATATAATTTTCTTACCTTAGTTCTGGATATACATTATCCAGGTACCATTTAAATGGTTTGCATTTTAATTTTTCTCGAAGTTCTACCCTCCCTCGTAAACTGAAGCAAAAAAGGTAAAATATTAGTCATGTTAAAGTAAAATGAGAATCTATTTAAAGTGAACACCTCTCAAAGTATTATATGTGTGCATGTATAAAAAATAAACAGTAGATGTTTAGGTGGGATTATGTTAACTGTATGTTACTTTACTATGAATGCAATATTCCAATGCTCTAAACTTAGTTCAAGGCTTGAATATTTCGGAATCAAGCAAGAGGCAACATTAAAATTACAGATATTATAAATTTTATAAGCATTTGAAAATATTGTATGATTTTTTATACCACTCCTAAGTCCGATTACAGTTGTATAACATGGGTCTATAACAACGATATACAGTGGAGAGTGGTATATCGTCATCGTATACAACTCCTCCGTATACACTCCAGCGTATACCACTGTAGAAGTGCATTCTGGGAACTAATGAATATTAACCGAAGAACGAGGTGTATGTTTTGTTACACATGGTTTCCTAGATATCAAGTGACGTCATAAATGGTTCCCACATGATTTGCTAGAATCAAGTGACGTCATAAATGGATCGAGATCAACATCGGCATTACTGGGTTGGCTATGGGATATTTTTATGGTTTTTATAATTGTTATGATTGTGTTTGAACTTTGAATCAACTGTACTTGAACTTAGAGTGGCATAATAAGATTATATAATGGTTCATTCTGTATATCGTGCATTTTATACTCTCGTGAGAATATAATATATTCACTCGTTCGCTACGCTCAGTTGTGAATATATTATATAGTCACTCGAGTATAAACACGATATACAGAATGAACCATTATATAACCTCATAATATACATATGAACTATAGTTACTATCCAATACATAAATAGGTAAAGGTTTTTATAAACAAATTGAAATGCACTAACTTCCCAAATGGCACATTTCTAGCAGAAGGCACTGCTGCATAGTAAAACTGTTTATATTCATCCATCCACACTTCAGCTGCTCTGCGTGTATTTCTACAATTAAACATTAATAATATAGTACATGAAAATGAAATATTGCACTGAAAATCAGATTGCTCACCTCGGTTTGACGTTAATTTTTTTGACTCAAATTATTTCAACATAAGGATTGTGGGTTATATAACCAAATATATCAACTAAACTCCAAATCAAACATTAAATAATGTACTGGGGTGAATCAATTGTTAACAAGGCATTTACATGCAAAATGTCACCACCTGCCATTTGTTACAAATGCGAAGACATAATAAAATAACCAAAGTATACCTGGCAAATACATTTCCACTTCCACCAGGGAAGCTATAGGGATGTTGTTTCCTGAACACATGCCCCACTCTACTACAAGGTATGATCTCTAGTTGACCATGGCACTGCCAAACTCTGAATGAAATTTCTGGAATAGAATAGCACCAAATTAACCCATTTTGTTAGTATACATTTTGGGGACCAGGGTACTGCCACACTCTGAATGGAATCTCTGAAATAGAACAGCACCAAATTAACCCATTTTGTTAGTATACATTTTGGGGACCAGGGTACTGCCACTCTCCGAATGAAATCTCTGAAATAGAACAGCACCAAATTAACCCATTTTGTTAGTATACATTTTGGGGAGCAGGGTACTGCCAAACTCTGAATGAAATCTCTGAAATAGAACAGCACCAGATTAACCCATTTGGTTAGTATACATTTTGGGGACCATGGTACTGCCACACTCCGAATGAAATCTCTGAAATAGAACAGCACCAAATTAACCCATTTTGTTAGTATACATTTTGTGGACCATGGCACTGCCAGACACTGAATGAAATCTCTGAAATAGAACAGCACAAAATTAAACCATTTTGTTAGTATACATCTTGGGACCAGGGTACTGCCACATTCTGAATGAAATCTCTGAAATAGAACAGCACCAAATTAACCCATTTTGTTAGTATATATTTTGGGGAGCAGGGTACTGCCAAACTGAATGAAATCTCTGAAATAGAACAGCACCAAATTAACCCATTTTGTTAGTATACATCTTGGGGACCAGGGTACTGCCACATTCTGAATGAAATCTCTGAAATAGAACAGCACCAAATTAACCCATTTTGTTAGTATACATCTTAGGGACCAGGGTACTGCCACATTCTGAATGAAATCTCTGAAATAGAACAGCACCAAATTAACCCATTTTGTTAGTATACATCTTGGGGACCAGGGTACTGCCATACTCCTATTGAAATCTCTGAAATAGAACTGCACCAAATTAACCCATTTTGTTAGTATACATTTTAGGGACCAGGGTACTGCCACACTCCGAATGAAATCTCTGAAATAGAACAGCACCAAATTAACCCATTTTGTTAGTATATATTTTGGGGACCAGGGTACTGCCACACTCTGAATGAAATCTCTGAAATAGAACAGCACCAAATTAACCAATTTTGTTAGTATACATTTTGGGGACCAGGGTACTGCCACACTGTGAATGAACATTTAGAACAGCACGAAATTTAGTATGTTCAAATATACATCTAAGACACAAAGGCACTCCCGAACTGTAAGTGAGTAAAATCTCATAGATATAATACTGTAGTACCAAATTAACCACAGGTGTTACTTCTATTATCATTTATATTTCATCATATGGCATTCATATTAAAATGTTCAATCCCACTTCACTAAAAAATCTAAAATGAGGAAATTCTTAATATTTCTTTAAAATTACAAATACTTTTAAATGTTAAAATTTTTGCGAGAAAAAAATCACAGAATGTATGCTTCTTCTCAATTTTATCTGAATATAGTATTATATATTTTTATCTTATTACACAATATTTATTTACTTTGTATTTACTACCAGTAATTTTGCTAAATGCGCTAAAAATAATAATTAAGATCCAAATGATTCCAACTGAAAACAAATCAACACTGAATTATGGTCATGTATGACCTGCCTTCCTGATTCAAAGTCTCAAACCTGTTTAAGGCCATCTTGCATTAAAACCTCAGTCAAATTTACTCTATGGTGGACTTATGGCAGGCAGGAATCAAAAAATTGATATAGAAAATCTACATTATACTGTTTATCCCTATATTTTCCCTATATTTTATGCTGCAAATTTCTCTCGAATTTGTGAAGCTATTGCCACCATGGATCAAATGTGACTGTGGCTTTATGCAAATACAGATCAACAGAACCCACTAAATAAAAGTCAAAATGATAATGAATAACAATAAGTGAATAATATTTTCCTTTTGCCATTGTGTTGAATTTCATAAATCAAATTATGATGTGTTGACAATCAAGGTATCACTATGTTTAAACACGGCTGTGACTGAGCATTCAGTTTGAGCGTTTATTTACAATAGAAAAGTTAACTTGTGAAACTGAATATTAATTTATCAGCGTTTAAACCATTAAGGTAGGGTATGATCACATTGTTGTATAAGACCACCAAATCAGGCCAATGAGTTTCTACCTTGCATAGATCATGCCTGAGTTTTCTCGTATGTAGTCTGAGTGCCAAGTATAGGGGAAAGATTGCCTAAACACATGACCTACATGGCTACATACTTCAAGGACCATTGAACCTCCGCATAGGTACGTTCTAAGACCCAACTCTAAAATTCATAATGATAGAAGAGATATATTCACATCATTCCTATTTTAGCCATTATAAAAGGCGGCGTTTTAAACACGTCAAATGAGACATTGTGTATGATTTATTTGTTTGATTTGATTTACCCCAGTCCTAAACCATAATTATTAAAGTTTGAGTAAAAGCTAGAGACTTTATCATTTTTCAGCTCATATGTCTTGGCTTTTATGCGTGGAGGTGTAGCATGAATAAAATCTTTCAAGGTATCAACAGAGTTAGTTTATTTCCCTACCACCAAAATAAACTAGCTTTCTGACAGATAGATGTCACTAAACTGACGTAGGAATTGTACAGTACATCAAAATTGCCATTCACAATTGCTGTGTTTCTTCGAGTTCAGTTCACATGCGATTTTATGATTGATGAAGATTTCATGAGTTATAGACATTTTATAGAGTCATATCCCCTGAGAATAAGAATACTGTGAATCACACCATGTCTTTAATAAGACATCTAATATGTCCAAACTTCATGTTACTTCATTCCCCTTGGAGTTTCTTTCTTGGCACTTTAATTTCCTGTCAATATCGCAAAAATCCCAAGTTGAAGCTATCACGTAGTGACCAGTATCAATTTTGACAGTTTACTTTATAAAAAGGCCATGAAGATTTAAAGAGATTCTTAATACTGAGTTAAAGAACAGTCACGCAATCCTGGATCATAACTCATGTTGTGAGGCTTATAAATTAGATGTTATTACCCAAGTGTCCCTTATATGTGTATATCAATGAGAATCTCGAAGAGCCCAAGGCAACGACTGAGACAAAGTCAGCTAAAACACACAGCAGTATTCAAGCAACATCTAAATGACTTCCAGCTATAATTAGTGATTAACTTCCCCATACCTGACCAGTCACCCAAACAATCATTACCTGCCTCAACTCTATCATGGTGAATTCTTGACACCCTGATACACAGGCCCTCTCAGAAATGTTACAAAACAAATGAATTCCTTCCAAAAAAGACCAAACTTAACCTCAGGAATGTTACAAAAGAAATGAATTCCTTACAAAAAGACCAAACAAGACCAAACCTCAGAACGTCCATCAACCATGATTGTCAATTGACTTAATACCTGCAGAGGATTACACCCAAGTTTTCACCCGAGTCCTTCGCATAAGGTGACTTATTACGAAAAACATGGCCCACACGACTACATTTAATTAACTCCATGGAGCCTCCACAGGTCCATGTTCTAAGGCTGAACTCTACAATAGAACCAAACATTGATATAGAACCAAACATTGATATAGAACCAAACATTGATATTGTCTATTTGGATAGGAGATAAAATCAAAATAAACACACTTTCCAAAATACCGTGTTATCCAAGCATTCTTTACAAAGAGGCTGTGAAAAAATGATTTTAGAAACAGGTTTATCCCAGCGCTACATCTAATTTTTGCACCTGGATAAAATGGTTTGAGAAAAAGATCAAAGCTTACCATTCAAAGAAACAGTAAATAGAAACACTAGAGTCAGAATAGGATCATATATTTCAGCTGAAAAATCTAGATAATCCAAAGAAAAACAGAATTAGATCTTAAGAACCATGATTAATCTTTTATTATCAAGATACAATTTACGAGATCCGTAAAACATGAAATCAGGTTCCTTTGACCAGTATTAATCATAGCATATGATACAGCTTGGAGACAAATAGAGAATAAAAAGTTAGCTTTGAGAGAATTTATAAGGTCTGGAATGGACATTATATGAGTGTTTATCACGCCAATTTCTAACTTAAAGAGAAACACCAGAGATTAACGAGAATTAACGATAGAAAGTAAGCCTCTCGGGAATTTAGAGCATCGGGACTTGTTCTAAATATGTGAAACAATGTATAGGATTGGATTGTTTTCAATTGTGATTATTGCATAGTAAAGTGACACATATAAATGAATACATGTCTAATCGGAACACCTCTCAAGGTGAACACTTTTCCTATGGATTAGACAGGTTTTACTGTACATACATGGCCGTAGCAAAGCCATGAGGCAATCGGGGGAACTGCCTCGCCAAAAATTCTCAGAAAAATCAAATACATAAATGGACATAGCTAGGCACGAGGCAAAAAAATTTTAGAATAGAAATCTACTTTTTGAGTTAAAACATGAAATGAAATCTAATGATATTATGATTTTCCCTTGATTAACATAAAAAGAAACACAATTAAGTTAATGAAATGTTGGTAGGTGGTAGTGATGTTGAAGTCGATGTATTGGGGATACTACTCAAGGGTATTTCAAAGATATCATGGACAGTTTTTAGGAATTCTATTTAAAATTCTGTGCTGTAAAATAATTTTTTCTTAATGTCAGACCGGGATTGCTAAAACATTAATTTGCTTTTTGTATCTATCTAATATAAGCAGATGATAATCTTCTCAATATTAGAACTAACCATCATAATGACAATGTTGCAAGATGTGCTATGTGGCATCCCGCATTCTGTATTCTCGACGAACATATATTTAAACGAGAAAGTAACATATTGTTTTAAACATCCTTGATAAAGCAATCAATGGCATCAGATCAAAAGATACATATAACATATTATGCTGGTTTAGTTTGAATTCAAAAAGAGGTCAGGGAGATCGAGGGAATCAAACTGTTCATTTTTTAAAGTTTTCGGTGCCTTGCCAAAATGTTGATCCTGGCTACAGCCATGACATATATATATAATATTTTTTTTGTAATAGAACCATGATCTGGCCCAACATGTAATAATCCAACAAGTGATAAAT